AATCATTGACTTATTTTAAATCCAGTCTTATTTTAATCACAGTCTCATTTGAATCATAGTCTCATTTTAATCAGTCTTAGTTTGTAGCTAATACTTAATCGCTAACGCCGTTAATGAGGATCAATACTAGGCCGACAAATCAACTCGATATAGATGCAGATTTATAGAACTAAGCTATTCATAACATTAAGCGTGTTCAGAAAGAAAGTGGGTAGCATGCGCCGATCTACAAGCTGCCGGCCGCCGATTGGCGCTTGCTGGTTTGGCTATTTTGATAGAAACTCGGCGCAGGCTACCTGCTTTTTTTCTGGTCAGTGCAAACATTTTTGTTCTACCATAAAAATTGACAAGTACTTGTGAGGTTCACTTGTGTGTGTATAGTTAGAAGGAACACCGAATGATTTGTTGGTTTGTCTATGTCAAAGTATTGTGACAAGTTAGTGTGCCTGCTATCTTGACGTCAAGCTAGCAGGCACACCAAGCCTGGCAACCTGACAACTTTGCCCTTTCGGAGCGGCATTGCCTCCCAGGCAGTAGCATTTTGATTTTTGCGAAGTAGTAATAAACTTTTTAAAATAAATCTGTAAAAACTAACTAATATCCTTATTGATCCTCATTATCAGGATAATTTGAGTTATTATCGCCAGTCGGCGATACGACATTTGATAATTCTACTGCAGATTCATATAGCTGCTGTTGAGGTGTAGAGGTGGTAGCATAGGCATAGTTATAATTATGAAGTGGCAATGTTTGAGTTGTGTAATTATAAGTAGAATTTGCGTTCACACTAGAATTAACATTATTTTCTGGTGATGAAAAGCTAGGTGTCGTAGTCGTTGGAGCTGAAATCCCAACAAGTAATTCTAGAACCTTTGAGCGAAACTGCAGCTTTTGATAAGCACTTAAATTACTTAGAATCGGACCAAGAGACTCAAAAAATGACAAATCATCAGGATTGAGGTTGGAAGGGGAAATATTTTGGTTAAGCAACGTTATTAATTCGTTTTCAAAATTTGATTGTTCTGATTTACGTTTATTTCTCCTGTTTTGATTCCATTTGTTTTGACTATTTTCTGTGTTTTCCTGTGGTCTATGGAGCTGAGATGGAGTACTCAAGTTATTCGCTGATGTGGCTGTTTCAGTCAAATCTTCAGATACGATAGACTGATTATCGCTTAATGATTCTGTAACTTCATTTTTTGAAATACGATCAAGAAATGTCATTTGCTCGAAAAATAGATACTTCTTGTGTTTTGCAGCGCTTCCAGATGGCGTATTACGCATATTCCCTTTTGTTTTGAAATAATTATCTCTGGCTGATTTCCATCGATGGCGTATTTGTTTCTCTGCAATAAAAACGTATTTTTTTAGGTACTTACCTATATACTAAAATCAAATGAAAATACTTTTTGTTTTCAGGTTTTTGGCAACGGGCAGTACTTTCTCCGATTTATCTATCACATACAGAATGGGAATCACTACTGTAGCTAAGATAGTAGATGAAGTTTGTTCGACTATATGGGAAAAACTGCGTCATGAATGTTTACCTGAACCAACTACAGAAATGTGGCAGCGCATAAGTGAAGAATTTCAGTTATATGCAAATTTTCCAAATTGTTGCGGGGCGATAGATGGTAAACACATACGTATAGTAAATCCTGCAGGTGGAGGCTCAATGTTTTATAATTATAAACATTTCTATTCTATCGTCCTTTTGGCAATGTGCGATGCGAACTATTGTTTCACCTATATTAACATAGGTTCTTGCGGGAAAAACTCAGACTCTACAATATTTCAAGAGAGTTCACTATTTCAAAAGTTACAGAACAATAGTTTGAGGTTGCCAGGTGTAAAGCATCTGCCGGGCACAAATATAGCAGTACCACACATATTAGTTGGTGATGGTGCATTTGGTATATCCAACCATGTGATGAGACCTTATGTGCGATCCAACATGACTCATAAAAAGAAAATATTTAATTATCGCTTAAGTCGTGCTAGACGGTACATAGAGTCGACGTTTGGAATAATGTCCAACAAATTCAGAGTATTCCATACTCCTATGAGTGTCAGTTTTCCTACTGCAAAAAAGATAGTTCAAGCCTGTTGCATATTGCATAATTTTATTAGAGTACGGGATGGCTACAACGTTAATCACACATTAACTATAACGGGATTGACTGATCTAATTAACGACCCAGATCATAGATCAGGAAACACATTACGCGATATATTCGCTAATTACTTCGTATCACCCACTGGTAGCGTGTCATGGCAAGATAGATCTGTGTTCTGATTTTATAGTTGACACCTACCGCGAAATTCAAAAATGGAACGAAACGAAACGCAGTAATATCGTCGTGGCCTATTTGATTTACCTACCCAATTAATATTTTTCACTGGGTGACCCGGCAGACGTCGTACTGCCTCAATCGATAAAATTTTCATATTTATTCACCTTTTAAACCTCCTCTGGACTTCCACAAATAATTCATAACCAAAATTAGCCAAATCGGTCCAGCCGTTCTCGATTTTGGCGAGACTAACGAACAGCAATTGATTTATACATATATTTAAATAGATTAGAATTTCTGAAATTCGCGGGCGGACAAAACGATTTCACTTAATTTTACACTAGGTAATAAGTAGCTAATGTGACTTAATTAAGGTACCAGACTCGTCGGTTACACTTGACAAACGATCTTTAAAGTTAATTTATATCACTTATTGTGAACTGAACACTAAAAGTGATAGAATGTTTTAATGGAGGATGGAGGATTAACTTTAAAGATCGTTTGTGCAACTAGCGGTAAACATGTATGTAACAAAAAAGATTTTATTAATAAATGTTTCTTACCTAAGTCTGTATTGAAATTTTCACCACACAATTCCTTTCCAATTTCTTCCCAGGCTTTATTTTTTGCGTCCTTATTCTTATAAAAATCATCGGCCGGGTCCCATAAACATCTTCTAATTCGCACTTCGTCAATTACTCGTCCCGTATCGATGTAATTCATTTTGTACACAACAGAACCTAACGGCGCGTCTCAACGGCGTCAGACTAAAACGCACAATGGCCGTAGAAGCGCACGAGCGGCGCGCGGTTCGACCGCGCCGCGCGAATAGGACGCGTTCAACGAACGGCGCTGCCCAACCGCGCGAGTTTGAAACGCTACTAACTACCCCCATATATCCGAACGCGCGCGCTCCGACGGCGCTGCCGAAACGCGTGACTATAAAACCTCCCTTAGTCATATCGACCTAAGGCATTTGCCTACTTACTGTCGATGGAAAAGTAGACTTCTTTATAGTACAAAGAAATGGTATCAAATTCATTTTAAGATTTCTGTGTGTGTGTCTGCTTAATACTTATAAAGTGATATATAAAAATTACTTACATGATATTCCCAAAGGAAATGGTGTGCTACTTCGATTAGCGCCTCTTTTGGCCATTTCTGGAACCAATCCATAGTCGAGCCGGAAATGAGACCGGGGAATTTTAACGCTCTGCTGCGGAACTTCTCACCGACCTGGGAAACATAATCTATTAAAAATGTGTAAAAAACCTTTACATGGATTTTTTTTTACTTTCGATATTAAATCGATTCAAACCCGATTTCTGAAAAGCGAAAAGAATAATAGTAATTTTGGACAATGCTATTACCGGCGAAAAACACAGAACAACATGCAAATTAGCCCTCGATCGAATAATGAAGTATTCGTACAACACATCAGGTACAGGTACCCTTCTTGGTGCAAACTTTTTCATAATAGGAGTCAGTTCATTGAGCATTTCATCTAGAATAAAATGAATATGATATTAATATGCATGAATTATTGGTGGCATTTATTAATGACTACATAACACGGGATAGAAAATTACTATTTTTAACCCAAAAGCGTTGACCTACTGACATGAAATGGACGTCGGGTTCGCGCTAAAAAGTGTCCGCACCTGTAGGGCGTTAAAATCGCATACAGAGCGTCAATCGCGCAGCAGTCTTCATTTGTTCGACTGACAGCGCGGTTGTTAATCATGCAGTACTATATAATAATAACTTGCACAAATTACAGCAGTGAAGTATAAAAACTGGTTTTTTTTATCATGTTTTCAACTTCGGACATTTTTTCGTGGTTTTTGTATTAGACCCGATGTCCATTTGTTGGTAGGTCATTGCCCAAAAGAGAGAAATAATCTGTGGCATCTCAGCACAGAAATGAATCAATTAATCTAGAGCGGTTTTAATCGGGATGGTTCATAACAATGTTTGGTGAATATATGCTCATCTGTTTAAAAATCATTAATTTTTCCCCAATAAGTGTAATGATGAATGATCTCAATCGTACAATGTGACGAGAAATTTCAAAATGTTTAATTCCGTTAATGTTCATATTAACAGAATTAAACATTTTGAAATTTCTCGTTATTCTACTTATTCCATAAATATAGCCAAATTCAACAAAGAAAACATTTTTCACAAATTGTAAATTTCATTGACACATTACATACCCATTTCATCCTTAGGGAAAAGATTGGCAATTTCACCGGAACTCAGGATGTTGTTAAGGAACTCTAAGAACTGTTCATCTTTAATATCGTTATCAGTGAATATGAACGTGATTCCTTGGCCCTCCAACCCGGCCACGCGGTAAAGTACTTTTATGTCATCACAGAAGTTGTTGACATTATAAGTCCTGTGGTGGAAAAGGAGCTCTAAACTTAGTAAGCACGTGCGACTTACAAGCAATGTCCACGGATTTCATCCCAAAAACAAGACCGCAAGAAAAAATAGGAGAATTTCGAATATGAACTAGAGAGATACTAGCAAGACTCATGCTTCGTGATTATAATTCATACAAAGTCACATTCCAATATAAAATGTAATAATACAGTAATTACACTTTAGGATAAGAATTCCTAGATGTTCTCTTCCGCGTAATATCAGAGGGGACAACTAATAATAATAACATAATAATAATAACAACCCACACACTCAACATGGCCCCGCACTAGGGTAACCCTGTTTTGCGGGTGCCATGGACACATAGACAACCACAAAGTACACCCAAACTCACGAAAGAAATAAATGTAGGCCATACAAATATTTCTCCCGGCCCGGGAATCGAACCTGGGACCTCTGCGTGGCAGGCATGGTAACCGCTCGGCCACGGAGGCAGAACTGTGGATAAGGTTCCCTGGTACCCTGTTTAGGGCAGCAAATGACACTCACTCTTCAGTTGTTTCTTTTGTTGATAATACGATGTGGTGGTTAAATAAAAAAACAAAATAGTTAAGACCCAAAATTGTGATTAGAGATTCTCAAAATACCACGAAACGCAGCAAAATTCTTTCGGTCGCGAATTTGAAACACTCCATTTAGATTTTTTATTTTCAGTCAAATAATATTTGTGCCTTTCTTATGTTAAGCGTATATGAATGCGAAACACTTGATTCAGTTAGAAATTGTCCGACTTTACATTTTCGTCAGTCATAACATGAAGCTAACAATAACTAGAAGTGTTTTATTTAAACTTTGTTGTTTTCGTTAAAATAGGTTTTCTTTGTTTACCTTGTCAATGTAATCTGGTAGAAGGTAAAGTTGGCGATGTGTGATGCAAGTTTTGTCAAGCTCTGTTTACCGGAACCACCGACACCAACTAGCAAAGCATTGCCTCTGAAATCGAGTTTTGATAAAAACTTCCACGATTTAATATTTACAATGTGTAATTAGTAACTTACTAAATCCTCACTCTTATATGCATCGCTCACTAGGCGCTATAATATTATGTTCCACTCTTTAGTTTGTCAATAATAATTTCATAAACCATATCATAAAAGCGCTCTTTTTAGCTTACAGAACTATAATGAGTATTAGAGTCCTGTACACAGGTCCATGAATTTCAGAAAAAAAACCTCGTATTTTTGGTAATTAAAATTGCTTGCACCTTGCTGCCTCCTGATTTGTTTAATTGGCCTACAAATCTTGCAACCGGTACGGTGCGGTGGTACTATATGAAGGGGTTATATGGTGAAATAAACGGGTTAAAATTTATTTTATCTGAGCAATCAATGCATAACAATATTTTATGCAATCGTTGCATAATAAGGGTTCTTAAAGTCGAGCACCGTGTTTAGGCCACGAGGCTTGCCGAGAGGCCAAAGTAATACGTACTAGATTTTAAGACCTAATTATGTAATGATTGCACACAATACTTTTTCTACGAGTAAATAAAATTATGAAATAGAACCAATATTTAATGGATATTTTGTTAACAATCCATAACAACAAACTCAATTTTGTTTTTAATAAATTTTAACCATTGACCTACCAACAAATGGACATCGGGTCTAATACAAAACCCACGAAAAAATGTCTGAAATTAACCTACACAAACGTAGTAACATGTAGCGAAATATAAAAAACTAAAACATTTAATTTAAATTGTAACGTCATTGCAGTACTGCCTAATTTTGCTTGGAAAAATTTAAGGGCCAAGAAACATCATATTCAGCGTCTACTGGAAACTTAACAAAATGCACCATATTTAGCTTCGACTGAAAATTACTTAAACACAAGAGTAATTGCCTTTATCGTAAATATTAATTAATTTTTATATACATTATTATGTCGAAAGTTGTACAAATTCACTTAAAGAAATAATAAAGAGTTGGGCCGATACATACATACAAATATTACCACAAATGCGAAAATAAGCGTGTACTATAAGAAATATACCGATATTCCAACTAAACGTAAACTCAAATATCCGTAATTTAGAAAACTGATTTATGATAAAACCGTTACGCTTTCGCATAATTTGGATGCTTTTCACAAAGACAAAATTAGCTCTTGTTTTGTAATATTCCTAAAAAAATACATTAGACAGTATGAAAATGAGCTAACGTTATTTCGGGCAAATGTATTTCCTGACTTCTGATAGCAGCTAATCCCAAGCCGTAAAACGAGCTCAACAATGTTTTCTTAGTTATTACTAACGTTTAACAAAAAATCATTTGAAAAATAAGATTAAAATCAAAGCGACTGTATAGTTTCTTTGTTCTAAATATTTCAATCGCTTGTGGTTCGAACAATTGAAAATGGACCAAGAAGTTTATATAAGCTTCTTGAAATTAACGTAATGGATCTCTTTCCATCTTTTGCGCATGCAATGTGTAGAAAAAGGGCAGTTAGCAATTTATTATTTTGTGTGCTTTTGTAATTTATATTTACGACTCATTTATATATAAATTAAATACTATAAAACTGTACAAAATATACACTTTTAAATGAGAACTATGATAGCACAATATATTTGTTTAGTGAAAATATGATACAAAATCCTGTTTTTACACTTTACTGTAATTTTTACAAGTTATTATTATATGGTACTGCATGATTGTCAACCGCGCTGTCAGTTGAACAAACAAAGACTGTTGACGCTCTGTATGCGATTTTAATGCCCCATAACCCGACGTTTATTTATTGGTAGGTCAATGATTTTAACCCATTTATTAGGGCAGGTAAAGGTTCTACCAAACAGCATCTTCATATATTTAAACGAAAGCCAAACAAAAGCTACACAAAAAAACAAACAGATAGTATAGAACTGGCCAAGTACCGCAATTATATTTTAACCAATCTTTTTTTTTACAAATATTTACGGCCCTGTTGCTAGGCATTTAGGCCAAAACCAATATGACATAGTATAGCGTTTGAGTAGCTTCCTAATTGATATTTTAGTTAACAAAAATATGAAGTTCTTTTTTGAAACTCATTACAATTCCGTGTACAGTACTATAAATACTCATTATAGTGCTGTGTACAGAACTCCAACGAAATTTTTCAGCTCATTGGCGAGTACCATAGGCGAACTGGCATGGCTTATGAAATTTAAAGTACCTAGACGAGTAGAAAAGTACTATTTGATAGTCGAAAAACTTACCTTGGTGTATTTATGACTCTTGATATTATAAACAAGTGGACCATAGCGTCGTGGAAGAACACTAAATCCAAATGTGCGCCTCGAACTTGTTCATTGAATATGTCTTGAAACTTTAGCAAAAATGTCAGAATGACTTCCCACCTGTAATTTTAAAAGCACTTCAAATATACAGCGCAAACATGTCGCATTGTTGCAAACTTTTTAGTTGTTCATGTAAGAGTCTTTATAGCGTTACCTTTTCGCATTCATTGTTTATGTCTTCACGTCTCGTTCTGATTTAAAGTTTTTTTTAAAAGTTAGTTTTTGACATCATCGCATAGTTTGAGTGAGGTTGGAAGGAATTATAAAAGGGACGACGAACTGGCGGGCGTGCGTCTTATGATTTTTAGATATTTCTAAGCGCTAACAGTAATAAATAATAGTTGTAATGTAAATAATACATAAATAAATTCCTTTGCTACTTATCCCTATAGCAAGGATATATGGGATACTGAACTTTGAGTTTTTATAATAGAGTTAAGCTTTTCTAACTTGTGCGGTCGTGGCCGATTTGTTAACACGCATATTTTTATTTTCTACTAAGATTTTTGTCTTATTTCACTACCTATTAATTTGAGCCAAAATTGAAAGTCAAGGCGTTAAGTGTTAATTCACAAAAACAAAATAGTAAAATACATGTCTATAATTTTTTCTATTCTATTGCTAGTATTATATTGATACTAAAATATTGACATAAGGTATAAGTTAATTTTATAGTTACGAGGGCATTTCTTCGTAAATTTTCGGAGCATCGGTGCTAATTTCTTCGTCTTCGTCACCTGTAGGGTCGGCGGGCTCTCGGAGGAAGTTAACAAAGTAAGTCTCTTCTGTTGGGAAGTCGTTAACATACTCCGATAATTCCACTGTCGCAGTCGTCCAAAAGTTTGTTTCGAACCACGCTTTGTCTTCGTATGTGGTAAATCTAAAATCGAAATTGTTTACTTGCTTACACAGATAGTAAATATATAACATGAAATTTTTATGCACATAGATTTTGAAATGACCACATCATGCTATACCTTAAAATCAGGAGATTAAAACCTTCTGATTCAAGGTATAATATGTAAGAGCGCGTTCCCATTATGTCGTGACGACAGACAGTCGTGCAGTTTAGATAGTCGTGCAGTTTAAAGTGTCGTGAGTTGTATATTTTATATGAAGTTGTTCACATACACGATTAACTGTCGTTCACGATTTTTTGACATTACGACGACAGACTGTCAAGACAATGGGAAGAGCTAGAACGACCGTCGTCAGACGATAAATAAAACGGTACTATAAAAACGTTACGACAGATAATTGCAGTTACTACTGTTGTCACGTTTTATTTATGGTTGTGAGACAACCGAAATTGGATGAAATACAATAAACTGGATACATCCCCTAATTTGCCGCCCTTAAAGGTGGAAAATTTTCTACAAGTTTCAATGAAATCACTACTGAGGTACCTTCTATCCAACAAAATAGAATCATCGAAAACGGTTCACAAAAGTCGGAGTAATCGCGTAACATACACACACACAAAAATAGTCGAGTTGAGAACCTCCTCTTTTTTTAAGTCGGTTAAATAATTGGTCATTATGTGTTAATTAAGAGCATGCTAGGATCGTTACATTTTAAAGAAACCTATAAAACCATTAAAGTAGTTGGGATATTGTTGCAAAACCTTTTGATAACTCGCGTATCTAAATGTTACATACGTTGCAGTTTCCTTATTGAACCAAGACATATCTTTGTACCCAACTACGCAACGAAAATTAATTGGTACTATAAATAAGTACACACCTGTCAGAAATCACTCTCAAGCACTCATGAAACCACAGTTTCAAGGCAGTGTTGATAGTCGTGCACTCTTCTCTTTTTATAAACAGAATACCTTCCCAAATGCGAGACAAATCACGTAAATTAAACACGTAGTGAAACTTAGCTGGCGTTGGCAACATCTTTGTCTGTAATTAAAACTTGCTTTTGCCTAAACACGTATGTGCTAAATAATGAATAACGTAGATAGAGCAGAAAATAACGTAAATAAAGGAAGGAATGTGACCTCACTCCAGTATATTATTAAACCAACGGGTTTTCTTTGCGTAAAATACGAGCAGCATCATCATCATTCTATTTAAGAGCCAGGTGAGCCTGTCCATGTTGCCACCTCCACTCGTCTCGGTTCATAGCCAACTCCTTGACCTCTTTGTAGCTACCATTTTAACGTTCTTGATTATTTGATCGCTGTACGCCACTTTTCGTCTTACTCTTTTTCTGTTTCCTTTTATTTTTCCCTCCACTATTAACCCTCACAAATTCATTGTCCAACATTTACCCCTTCTGTTCTCTACCGTTTTTAAAAGATCTCTTTCCTAAATTAAAACTTCTTCGTAAGGTCAAAGAGATTGAAGTAATTTTAATTGTTCATTTACAACAACGAGTTATGTACTCAATGATTCACAATGATGAGTTTTTTCAAAATTTTATGAGGTTGCTAAGGAAATGATGGAAGTAAAAAGTGAATTTATAGATACAGAAACCCTGACTTACCTTAGTTTGTTGCCAAATAACCCGCGTAACAGGAACAAGTTTCGGCATAAAATCTACAATCTTCTTATCGAAACGCGTCTTGCAAAAGTATCCAGAACTTATGGTTTCTAAAGCAAAGGTTTCAATCCAAATTACTTTCAGGCTTATTAAATTTCAATGCTTTTCACAACATAGGACACTAACCAAAAATCTTATCCATAGAAATGGTGCTTGGCAAAGTACAATTGAAAATGTTAAACTGTCTCTTAAGTCGAGGAGGAATGTCGTTGCGTCCACCACCTTAAAAAGATATATAATTGTTTGATTGAACTACAACAAACTGTCGTAATTATTATATTGTATTGTACTCTACACGATGTCCACGATAACCAATGCATAAAGCGTCAAAACGATATGGTTACTCCTTTCATGGAAAGTCAACATTTTGGTCACGACCTGTTTAAATGGGTTCCACTCTCGTGGACGTCTCATGCGCCTCACTGTTTTTTTCCCCTGTTCCCGGTAGTCTTACCCAGTAGTCTTACCAGTAGTACTACTGGGAGTTTTCATCCCAATAAACTTACTCATAGTAGGTCTTTGTAGGTGTCATATTGGGCCAGTTTTTCCCAGTAGTACTACTGTAAAAAGTAATAATAACACATTATTTCCTTTTCTCTGACATGGACCTCTTTTTATTTGGAGTAGAATCCGGGGGCCAATATAAATCATTTTAAGTATCATCGGTCTAAATAACATAGTCAAGCGATCGGTATACCACTTTTTACCCATGATATAGATACGTACCAGGATGAATCATGGCGCCAAACATCTGTATGTCTGCAATAGTAGTGAAATCTCCCGGTTTCTCTAGAGAGTAGAAACCGCCACATTCCATCATTTGTCGTACAATTTCGTTTGTTACCTGTGAACATGCGCATATTTTACTAGACTAGCTTTGATATTAAAAACTAAAGTCTTTAAATTAATGTTTGGGATTACCCCCTAGGTCAAAAATGAAAAACAACAAGGGTAGAAGAATTATTTGACTCTCGAAAATGATAAATAGGTTTTCATGTACACTGCACCTGATCTCCCCAGTCATTAATAACAGGCATGTTGATGTCGTCTACAAAAACAGTCATGGCTCTTCCGTTAGGTGGACCGTAAGTCATGCCTACTCTTTTCTCCACATATGATTCAATAATCCTCTGGAAATCATTTTAACCATTTCATTATTTTTGGAAATAACTATCTTTTCGGATCCAAAACCGCGTATATTTGTTTTTTCAAATAAATCTACGTTTCGAGCTAGTTACAGGTTCCACGATCACAACTGACCCGTAAAGAGCCGTTACTTTTATTACCAATGAGTAGCGGCCGCGAGAATTCATAATTTTAATTACTTTCCAAAACAATTCAGAGTAGTCAAATGAATTCGCCATCTTTGCTCTTAGTTATCTCTAACTAAGAGCAAATTTGGCGAATTAATTTTATTATACTCATTTGCTTTTAAAAAACAAAGGCATATATTTAAATGACAATTTTAAATTTGCAAAAACAGCAGGCAAAAAATCTAAACCATCATCTTTTTAATGATTGATCCTTTTTCTTTTTTTGAAACAGAAAAAGGATCAATCATTAAAAAGATGATTTATGAAAGATTTTTCAAAAAAAGAAAAAGGAAGGAAGTTTTTTTAAACAATGGATATTTTAATCTGTTCTGAGCTACGTGAAAACTATTTGATTTGTGTATTAACTTCTATAGTTTTGTATTGAACCTTAGACTTAGACAAATCAGCATGAAATATAAAATTTAGATTCTAATTTTTAAAAGTAAGTAAATATTGATTATGCATATTTGTATACTAATAGTGTATTAATTATAATACAATTTGACCTGAAAACATATTCGGAAACACAAAAAAAACGACAAAAAGTTGCCGCAACGCGCTCACTTCGCTCGGTCGGCTCGTGATGCTTTTTCGTATACTAACTAACCTAACATAATCTACTGAATAGAGCGCGCAACCAAGCAGCCAAGATTTATTAGAAGATCAATATCAAAAGATATACCGTTTATAAATGTCATCAATCGTTAACAGAAAAGACCAACAATAAAATAATCTCAGTACAGAGTACAAACAAAACCGACCTCAAAAGTACGTGGAAGTACATAGGTATAATTACCAAGTTTTATTGAAATCGGTTACTGAAAAGTGCGCAAACCCGGATTCATCCCCTAGTTCGCCACTATACGGGACTTGACACAGGAGATAATAAAAATCGGTTCTCACTACTGAAAGTATATTGAGAAAGAAAAACACCTTGAATTGGAGAATAGCAAAATCAACCATTAAAATAATTGCTCCTTATAATAAAATTTAGGCGCTATTTATAAAAATGAATCTTCATGCGTGGACAGCCCTTAGAGATAGATGATTTTCTTCAAAATTTAATGGGACCACTATGGCAGTACCCTTTTTCCAACAAAAAAAGAATCATCAAAATCGGTGCACAAATCCGGTGAGTTATCGCGTAACATACAGACAACGACACATCAGACTACAAATTTGTGTTCGAAAATCGCCTCCAGTTCAACGGAACAAGATACGTCAACGTGTAGCTTGATGTGCTGGCGTGTGTGCATTAAAAAAAAAACAGTCGAATTGAGAACCTCCTCCTTTTCTTGAAGTCGGTTAAAAAGAGGATCAAATATTATTTTTGAATGCCAAACATTGACTTACAATTATATGGACGTCGGGTCCGCGCTAAAAAGTGTCCGCACTTGTAAGACGCTAAAATCGTATACAGAGCGCGACACTCCGCTTTAGTCTTCATTTGTTCTACGGACAGCGCGATACTGCGATGACATAACAATTTAAATTTCGAATAGGTTGACTTGGGACATTTTTTTCGTGGTTTTTGTATTAGACCCGTCGTCCATTTATTTGTAAGTCAATGATGCCAAATAATAATTTAGAATGCTTAAACATAGTGATAGTGTTACTTTGAATACAGTTCATTTATAATTTATCCGTAGATCAGCTGCTATAGACGGAACTATTAATATATATACGAAATGAAACTATTTTTCTGGATTTAATTCGCAAAAGCGTGAAAAAACAAATATACGCGCTTTAAGTCCGGAAAAATAGTTTCATTTTCTATGTGTAACTATCGCGAAAACCTAAGAACTCACTAAAAAAATCATTTATTTAAAAAATGCACATTTACAATAGATCATATCTTTGAGGATCAAATAATGTTATCCCAAAAACAAATAATAAAACTGCTTATTCTCATATTTACAAATTTTAAGACGACATACCTGAAACATATTTGGAGTTGTAGCAGAAGAAAAGTTGATCGTTTTGAACAATTTCACTTCGTTATCGTACTTTTGCATATAACTCTTCAACATGACTGTTTTAGCAGTTCCCTGCTCACCGATTAGCAGTACTGCCTTATTTTGCTTAGCAATTGTGTCAATTAGAAACACAGTGCACACATTATCGATGTTCGGTACCAGAATTGATGCATACTCCGGTACAGAATCTGTCGGATAAATATAATCATCTACGTTCTCTGACCTGAAAAGAAACGTTCATTGTTAACGACACCCCCAAAACGACACCCCTGGGGTGTCGTTAACAATAAGCATTTGTTGACGACACCACTAACAAATAGTGTTGTTACCCTGCTGTATGTTCGTACCTATACCATAATAATTAATAAAATAAAAAGAACCTGTAAAGATATTTTTATTTAATTTGATCGAAGCTCAATAATCCTTATTATTTCAAACATTATCTGTCTTCTTTTTACGACAGGTACGTTGTTAAGTTCTTGACCAATAAATTCTCCGAAATGACACAAATGACACATAATTTATCTCATGAACGTCATAAACGTTATCAGCCAGTGCATTAGAGAAAGAGATAAAAAGATACAATTGCATATGTTTATTAACCATTGAGAGTATACTAGCTCGATAATAAATTCTTAAGCGATAAGTTATCCCAACATTACGGTGGTGTCGTCAACAAATGCTTATTGTTAACGACACCCCAGGGGTGTCGTTTTGGGGGTGTCGTTAACAATGAATGAAAAGAAAATATTCAAATAAGTGACTAAATAAGAATTTAAATGAACCTCTTTATTATTTTACTGCCTATGTGGCTGAACGGTTACCACGCTGGACTGCCACGCAGATGTCCCGAATTCGATTCTCGAGGCGGGAGAAATAATTGCATGGACTACATTTATTTCTCTCCTGAGTTTGGGTGTAACTTGTGGTTGTCAATGTGTGTATCCATGGCACCCACGACACAGGGTTTCCCTAGTACGTGTGGAGCCTACAATCCAAATAAATAATTAATTGTTGAAATGGGTTCTCTGAGCAAAGGGTTGCATAGAGACAAGGTTATTCATGTTGTGGTAGCCGTGTTTGACGTGGTTAAAATTATGGAAATCACATTTATTTACCAGTGTTGCCACTGTCCCGCAGGATTAACCGTGTAGTCGAAAGGCATGGTCCACTCCGCTTGCTTACCCTTGGCGCCAGGCCAATCGAGCTTTGCTGGTATCTTTGTCATAAACTCCGCCATTTTGAGGCGTCCATCTAACTCCAGTACAGCACCGAGTGACCACATCATTGCAAATATGAACAAACGTTCCATATGACGGTCGGTATGAACCTCTATAATTGCAAATTAAATTTTATAAGTATTATCGTCATCATAATCAACTCAACATTTTCACATAATAGTACAAAACAACTCACTTCCCCCGGGTACTTCAATCTGTAGCAAACCCACTAACACATCGATGCACTGTCTGTAAGGAAATAAATTGTTTACAGAGATTATCGACTTCGATTGGACACAATATGAATTTGAGTGCTCTGTTTTATTACCATGCAGTACCTGCAAGTATATGAAATTATCCTGAACCCTTTATTTTTCCTGAGTAAAGCTGACCCAGAGACCTCACGTGTAGAAGACTTGACAATATGCTTAAAATAGTGACACTTTTTCTTGCTCACTACAACGTGTTTAATGGTGGGCCTACATGTTGCATACATCTGCCAGCGCTCTCTTTCCCTTTCAATTGGCCCTTAAGGTCTTCGGTGACGGAATGCCCGTAGTATTTAAATTTGTAAACTCCCTTCAGCTCATTACCATTGACAATGACAAATTACAACTGACATTGAAATTTTAATGTTTTGCAGTAACAATTACATACTACATAAATATTAATCTGGAATTACCTTACATAAATTGCCTCAAGTATTTTCATTTTAGCAGGCAGCTTTTGTTGAACATAAGTATGAACTTCATCGTAGATTTTATTGAAATTATTACGGAAACAGTTGGATTCTTTATCACTTCTCTTTTTAAGCCATCCCTAAGAACAAGTTTAGTAATAATGTCAGCGAATAAAATGGAGGATAGTTTTAATGTTGCCAAGTTTAATACGGTGATAACAAACGGTGCAAAATCACATTATATGATACAAAATTTATCAAAAATAATCCAATTCTAGCAATGATCATATCGTATCATAATGACAATATATACGATTCCTGTATTATGTCAATTTAAAAATAGCTATTTTCTTTAGTCTGAACGATATAACACAAATGGCTTTGAATATAAAATAAATAGTGGGTTTTTGATTGTTCACTTTATTTGTACGGCTTGTTATTAGGAGCTTGCATGCTAGTTGGGTAATTTCACCGTCACCTTTACCCTTCAAAACTGTCTCTGTGACCAAACGGTTATCATGCTGAACTACCGCGCATAGATCCCGGTTCGATTTCCGGTCCGGCAGAAACATTATTGTGGCCTACATCCATGGCATCCGCGATACAGGGTTTCCCAAGTGTTATTTAAAAAAACGGAACGCAATAATGCTCCCATTACTGCTTGGCGGCAGAAACAGGTAAGGACGAACTCGTTCACAAGGAGCTCTACTGCTACTAAATGGTAGACGATTTTATTAAAGCGGAGTACAATTTTTTGTTACAAAGGCTTATCTTGTTTCTACAACAATGAGATCTTATGGTAATAAAATCATTGATTTCGTTTCATCATGCTTAAGATAATACTCTTTCGTGACGTGTGTACATAAATTCCAATGGACCAAACCCTTATGCGTAACATCAACCTATCCAGCCCAACGTTATTTTTACAATGCGCTTAGGCATATGAGATAGAGACATCACACTTACTTCCAATATAGGTTGCCACTTGAGAACAGATGAAGACAGAAACACCATGCCTACTCGACTAACGGTAGCCGGTGATGCGTTGTCCACATTGTCCGGCTCGAACACAAGCTTGCTGTTCTGAGCCATTGTGATACGGTCGCCGTTTGCCAGAGTTAACGTCTTATTATCATCAAGCACAGAGTTTAAATTCTCAATCCACACGGCGTCCACGGGGCCGTCTATAAAATTATATACATATATAAAAAAATTAGGTGGTTATATGGAATACAGCACGTCTAGATGTGATTTTTTTTTTTAATAATATTAACGAGACGAACAAGTTGTGCGCCTGATGGTCAGCTACATGCCTGTCCATAGCAGCTGCAGTGCCACATCTGAGCGGCATTGCACTGCGCCCGTTACCCTGAGACATAAGTTGACAAGTCCCATGTACCTACCATTTCACCAGCACCCTTACCCATCAAAACCGGAACACAGCATTGCTGACATTACTGCTTAGCGGCGGAAATAGGTAAAAGTGGCAGTACTTCCCAGGACGAACTCTTTCACAAGGAGCTCTACTACTGCTAGTTGTTCTTAACTAGTGGAGGAATCAAAATGTAAATATTCTTTATAATAATTTTTTTGTAGAAATTTTCTGCACATCACAATTTCCGACATCATATTAAAGTAACGTAACCTAATACAATCCAAGTGGTGTCACTTTTCTTGACTTTTAAAGCTCGTCTCCATAATGTGGAGAAAATACCATCCGTCCAGTCGTTCGTCGCCACGTCCAATCTTCCAAACATTTGTGGAGCTGTTATGGCCTGCAAGAAAAAGGTCATAACTTTATCAAACAAAGGTTTTGGTTATAAATTATGTTATTTGATTTTTAATTCGGGACTTAACCATGTATGAAACATATTTTATTTACCTCGACGTTTCGGACATATTGCAACGTCCATGGTCTCGAAGGGACTGAAGAGGCGGGTGTCATCATCTTCTCAGGCGGGTGTCATCCCGAATTAAAAATCAAATAATGTGAAAAATAGTGATAGTTTAAATCAAAGTATAAATTATGTTGTACATAAATCTAAAGGTGGACAATAAAGACATTCGAAACTACATATTTCATTTCAGAAAAATTCTAAATATTCATTTGTACTAAAATAAAATAAGTAATAAAAATATTTTAGTATAGAGAATATTACTTACTGAACTTTCTCCTATCCCTTTAAATGTTACCATTTCAAATATCAACAACGCATTTGATATGAAAAATTGGCAACACATACCTAAGTTATACCTTATAAATACATACCTAAGTTATACCGCATAAAAGTATAGCCTGACTTGTTAGAATTAAAACCTTTAAGTTTTTTCTACAGATGAGCAGCGCCATTGGCAATCCAGAGCCTTTACCTTGGGATTCATTCTATTTTCTCTGTGGGGTCTCCCTATCTCGGTCAAAGCAGCCATCAATGTGTGAATGCATGTTGTCTTCCCCGAACCTGTGGGACCCATTGTCATCAGCCCATGGCGTACAAGTGATGTCTCGTAAAGTTGAATAATTTTCAAATTCCATTCAGGGTGATTGACGAGACCCGTGCGTTCTGTGATTAGAGTAATGGCGCGTTGCATCTCCCTAAAAGCAGAATAATTCACTAAATAAGGCTGATAAATAGTATTTATATTACTAATATAGCTCTATAGCCCCAAGTAGTGAATAAGTAAGTATCATACATTTCCGCAAAATAACCCTTGAATCTATTAATTACTTCCGCAAGATGTGAGGAGTGTACCTCTCGATATCTGGCCCGTCTATTATTGGACGAAATTAAAAAAGCTCGATTGAAAACGTTCCCTCCTTGTCTCCCGTAAAATATACAAAGATGACCTTAGAAAAATTTAGCGTAAGGTTGCCGTGGTAATGCACGCGTCTTTAATATATGACCGATATTGAAAATATCTACGAAAGAGCCTAAATTACACAATCAAGATATGTATGTGATTTCTGTGTGACACCTCTGCTGAGTCTGAGTAAGTTTCATTCCCGGGAACAAGTCTTCAATCAAAGATAAGAACAGCGGCTCGTCTTCGTCTACTAACTTCGACACATTCATCTCTCTGAAATGAAAATCAAATTTAAGAAAGTTTTCAAAGTTCCTAAAAAAGTGCACATTGGTTTCTGAAATGATTTTTTAACTTTTCTTAAAAAATATCACTAAACACGTATTTCGACTTTATGATATTATATTCTAGGCCTTTCACAATACTTAAAAGAATTTTTGGCATTTTGCATCGCTATCCTTTAAAGCAAGCAGTATTCAATTTAATAGGTATACTGGAAGGTTCTGCTGCCAATTTTCTGGATTTGTCCTTAGTCCCTTGCTACACACAGGAATGAGAGGGGATAACAACGTCAAATAGAAACTTAAGTTATGTATATATGTGTCAATAATAATATTTGTACTAACTTCAATACTCTCATCATGATGTTCTCTTCTGTGCTGTCAGGATTGTTACGTTTCTGTGCACCCATAGTTCTTAATACTGACAGAATATTACGGAGACCGAAATCATAATGCACCTGTTTTGACAATTGTTCTTCGCAAAGCTTATATAGAGTGAAAAATTTACGGGCTGCAAAAAGATTCATTAAAAAGTGCGAAAATAAACAACCACAGACATTTGTCTTTTTGTTTTTTTTTATTTCTTAGTGGATTTTCATAAAGTAAGTAAAGAACAAAATATAGGAATTGGAATTGTGTTGTTTATACGCACAGAGTATGAATAAAGTTACTATTATAATATTACATATGGTGCCGCACACTACGCGTCATGTTTTCATAATTTTATTGTGAAAATGCTGATAACCGACCTCGAACACAAATGCCAAAGAATTTCAAAACGTGGTTAAGTGTTCTTTTTCATAATACCAAGTGACGGGACGAACAAGTCGTGCGCCTGCTGATAAGCGACTCTAACTGTCATCCTGAGACATAACTTGACAAGTCCCATGTTCCTGAAATTTCACCAGCACCCCTTACCCTTACTGCTTGGCGGAAGATAGGTAAAGCAACAGTACTGCCCTGGACGAACTCTTTCACAAGGAGCTCTAATGCTACTAAAAATGTACAACGTATATTAACGTACCCAGTAAGATATTATCTTTAAAACCACAACTGGCCAACTTGACTCGAATAATGATCTGCCGGTCAGGCACCATCATAGCAACGGAACGGAACATTATCTTCAGATTTTCTGGCAACTCCTGTCGCCCGGCGTAACCAGGATTCATGGTGATGATGAAGGCAAATTCTGGATTTAGAGTCACTACATCTCCGTCACTAAAAGATAAAATGATTTTATGGCACTCCTTCACATTAATTGTCACGACCATTGCGATATTGCGCCAGCAAGTATGTTAATGCCGTAACGTGTTACATACCTACATACAAAGTTATTTTAATAATGAATTGCTGATGATTCTGTATCAACTCATATCTCGTTACACTGATAGGTCGCTTAGGTCATAATCAGTGGATAGGAAGGGTGGTGATTCATATTAATGCTGGTTGGCGATTAACGCGTTTTCTATTTTATATTGCATCTTTATTTTATTTTGTATGTAATATTGCAGTTCCAATTACAGTACTCTGTAATATAGTGTAACCTGAATGCAGTAAATGAACACAATATTTTTTCGAGATAAATTGCACACTATATTTATTATACACAAGTATCGATTTCAAGAACGGCCTCCTGTATAGAAAATAAGCTCTCCTATCAGTGCTTTTTCAAAATTTATATCTTTTTATATTTTAATAGTATTAATGTCTTACCTACATATTATAACATATTGCAGATGTAGAGTATACTTAATTCGAATAAATAGACTATTGCAAGTTATAGATAGGAATACCTAAATATAAAGGACTCTTTCTTCTCTCTCCTAGCCGTAAGGCAGATGGAGATTTGTTGCGCGGCTACAGATAGCACGGGCAACTCGATACGGTTAAACTCGTCAAAGCATCCCCAAGTGCCAGATTGCGCTAAACCTTTGTAGATACGGCCTAAGCCTGTGTGCGACAAAAATGTACGTTAATAAAAGATAATATTATATTTTTTTATATAATACGATAAACATATGTCAATAATGAGTAAAGTCACTGAGTAAATAGTGACTGCACTGAAAGCATTAACATGCGGTCTAGTCAAATGTTTTAAGCTGCCGTCCGCTAACTAAAACGCGGCTAAGGGACAAAGTAATTTTTTGAGATATCACAAAAAAAACATAATTTATATTTAGAATATTCAAATTGTTTAATGATATTTCAGCCATGCATCGTTAGGGTAAGTTCCGATAAGTCGAACACGTTAATTAATTTCAACTGTTTTTAAAAGATTATATTGTGCTCTATCTTTTGCTGTTTAAAACGGATATTAACCGCGGTCTAGTTAGTGGACGGCAGTAAGGCGAGTCACCGTAGGAGAGGAGATCAAATGGTTTAGATATTTATTATTGAATAACGGTCTTACAAAAAATATACGATACATCTAAGGACATTGTTTAAATGATGTGCTAATTTACTTGACCATATAAAATCCCGAAAACAGGCTAAAATAGAAGTCTTTATATATATTATATTATTTTATTTATTTATTTACTTTGATTTAGCCAATTATTAAAGAACAAAATATCTAACCTTGCACATAATTTTTATATGGAGATATGTATCTTTAAGTACTATACAGAACCTGCAAAATTTTGGTTTTCAACTGAAGCCCGATAGTTATTTATATCACATTTATCCCAATATTTGAAAATTGCCCAGCGGTTTAACGATATGCCGCGCTGCCCCGTCAGTCGCCTTCGGGCGCATGTCGACTGCGGCAAATTTTCTCCGCCTGTTCTTACTTTGTTCATATTAATTATCAGCGCGCGGATTGTTGTTAGACGCGAAGGGTGGGAAGATAGCAATAGTTTTTATTGAACATCGCAATGGTTTTAGTGCCTATTTTTATATTCGTCGTTTCATATTCGTCTATTTTTTTTAAATACCCCACTAGTTTTTTTTTTCTTTTTTTTGATACAAATATCGAACAACCACAAAGAAAATTCCTTTCATTTGAATAGACTCGAAACAGCGTCTGTTGCCTCAACTTGGCTCTTACGAATTTAAATAATTATAAAATTGTTAAAATCAATAATATTAGATAAACCCTCATATGAAAAAACGTAAAGGATTAAGAAAATATATATATTTTTTGATATTACTCGTTAAAGGACAATACTTGTATATATACAAGTATATATAATATAATATGATATATTGTTATTATACTTTAGTCGTTAGAACATATCTTCAATCATAAAATTTAGTTTTTGAAATATCGTATACACCGAATCCATAAATCAACCTGGGCCAAATCCACCGAATTGCGTATTTACACGCAAAAGTCCTAAGACCGGCAACAAATCATCCACTTGTTCTCACCACTCGCAGGGGTGTGATAGACACGCAGCAAACTTGGTATTGTGATAAAACTATTGTCTAGTTTATGATAAGTACTGTCATCTAATTTATTATACGTGAACTAAAATCTAATATTGATATACGGTTGCAATTTTAGGAAAAATGACACTGTTGGATGTTGCATTCGGGACACGCCACAGTTGTCAGGTTTTAAGGTTTTCAGTTTTCAGGAAATATTTTGTGCTCTCCAGTTAGCTTTCGACCTATATTGTATATTTTTTTTTTGTAGATTTTTGTTTTGATGAAATAAGTTGAGTTTAGTGCATGGCCACAGAAATTTGCGGCTTTGAACAAATGCCCTAATAATAAAGGTCGAACTCCCACTTCCACCGCATTTGCCGTGTCCCATTCCTAGCTAAGATGCGGCATGAGGGACAACCGAGAAACCCAAACGGAGATAATTGTAATAGTATACATTTTAAAATAAATAGCCCCTGAATTTACACCTCTAAAGTCCATCTGATCAGAGCAGTTGAACACAATGACGAGCTTGCCCAGCGTCCGCCCCATATCCTTCGTGGTCTCAGTCTTGCCTGTACCAGCCGGACCAGCAGGAGCTCCGCCCATATTCATACCGATGGCCTGTGCTAGTGTTATGTAACAACGATCAGTCAGCGGCGTAATCACTAGACGTTCTGTGATGCCTAGATACTCGTTCTGAAACACAAATATTGATCCACATTTGGAGTAAATGGAAATATTTCTCTTGCTAACATTTTACTAATATTTCTTTTGAAATATTTATTTTCACACATAATTAAAGAGTTTATTATAGTCACATAATTAGTGTTGGCTAATTTTCCGAAAAATTACAAATAGATGAAATTTTTAAGAAAACCTTCTAGTAAATATAGTTCGAAGACTCATATTACGTTCTACGTTTAGATATGTCTTAAAATTCTATTTAGCATGAAATATAAAATAAAATTGTATGAAACATGCGAAGTGTAGTTTTCGAAATCCTGCATGGCTTATTTTTATAAATTCTCACAATAAAATATCTAACTATTCATATGTGTCACTGTCAAATATGGAAAAATATAGGAAAAATATTCAGAAAATGTATCTTTTTCTGAAAAAAATATCTTTTTCAAAATGGAAATTTTTCCAAACATCACACGTACTCACGAACAAAATAACAAAGCTGAAAGTAAAACGCTAATTACCTGATACAAGAAATCTACATCAGTTATAGATACCAAGCAGTCGTCACTGTCCACGAAGTAATAGAAGCGTGCCTGCTTCTGCCACTCAAAGTCACCGGGAGATTTAATTCGCATCCTCACCAAATCATCAAAGATATCTCTGCATAAATGCAAGAAAAACTAAAGAATAGATAAATAAACTTTTCTTTTTTATATATAACACCAAGTGACGGGACGAACAAGTCCCGAAAAGTCCATAACAGTTGCAGTACCACTCAGAGCCTTAAATTTTAAAGATCTGAGGGGCACTACCACTGCGCCCGTCACCATGAGACATAAATTGCCAACTCTGTAATTTCACCAGCACCTTTACCCTTCAAAACCGAAACACCGTAATGCTGACATTACTGCTTGGCGGCAGAAATAGGTAAGGTGGCAGTACTACCCTGGACGAACTCTTTCACAAGGAGCTCTACGGTTACTAAATACATACTAAAATTCTATGAATTCAGTGCAAAAACATGTGCCTTTTACCTCTGATGCACATGAATAGTAATCATGGTTTCAACTCTGGTTCTGTCCAGCGGCACTAAATCCCTTACGGTCCAGTCAATGAGACCGTTCAATAAGTCCAAATTTTTCTGATTAGTGATTCGCATTATAAAACGGTCGGCTTTCGCTTTCTTCAAAGCGTACTCGGCATCGCTAGTCCATAAGATCTGCATACCTAATAAACTGCCCTAAAGAAAAGAAAAATTATTCGAGATTTATTTATGAAGTAGGTACACATTATGTTCAATCCGATTCCGCAGTTGACTAATGCATTGACTCCTTAACCCTTATAGCCTATCACTAACTCTCTCGCCAAAAGAGATCAACGGAATTGTCAGTAGAATGTACATGGGTACAGCAAACAATTAAAATAATACTTGGGCAGCTACCAGATGGACTGCATGAGCCAAGTCGATATACACAACTACATACAGTCGGCGTTGAAGGCGAGTGTCAAGCTCAAGACCTCAGTGTATTTTTTTATTTATTGATATCGAAATGGTAACACATCATTTGTCACTGCAATTGGAATCATGCCCTATGCTGCCTTTACTTTTTGTTAAGAAAAATAAACATGTCACTATCGAAATCTTCCATTTTGATTTTTCTAACAAATTCAAGTCCGCGACTGTATTCCGCCAAGGAAATTGCGATCAAATATGTAAACCAAGATACCATTACAAAACAATTGTGAAAATAAAAAGAAACCGTCCAAAAAATAAAAAAATACTAAATATCCTATTAAGAAAGCTGCTTTTGATTCTTAGCCTATCGTTCACATCGATTGCAGCCAATGCTTGACCTCTCACTCGACTGCTGCAGACAAGCAATTCATCTGTTAGCAGCTTTAGATCCAATGGTCTTATGGTTCGTATAGTTACTATCAGAAATTAATACAATAAACTAGTATTACGAGGGTACCCCATACGATACACCCAAGATTGCCGTTTTTCCGCATTACAAGTCATTACCTGCCCAGAAAAACTCAAAAATTGATTTATGAAGTCGAACTCAGGGTCGTCGGTCATAGATTGACAGATAATAGCGATCATGCCTCGCACAGTTTCTTTCATCGTATCCAGCAATACATTCAGCCAAATCTGCGGAAAAATAAAAAATACTAAGTACAATGTGCAGTTACTAAAGTGCTTTTAAAAATCACAATCGTGTTCAATAATACTTGGCATACACGTTCAACGTTGTAAATTAGAATTAGTCAAATTTACTCTGTGATCTGTCTTATATTGATGTATTACTACATATAAGTATATTAAACTGTATAAAGGGAAATTGTATATTAAACTGTATAAAGGGAAATTAATCTAGTTGTAATAAAATCGAAAATATGAAATGTAACTGAAGAGCCAAGTTACTCTAACCTTATTAGTAAAGTGCTTAGTCATGCATAGTAATAAATGCTTCAAATGCGTTAATTTCGTAATAACGTTTTAGATGGAATCACGATCTGGTTGATAAGAACGCGTGATGAGTTGGTTCACCTATGAACTCTAAATGAGAGTAGGAAGCGATTATTTATAGAACGATATTTTTAAACCTATTTTTCAGATTATTAATCGTTATTGTCAAGCTATTTACTAATAGAAACGACGTCGTTCTCGGATTAAAAAGGCGACAGCAACATTACCGTAAAACTATTTGTGTGCCTAACGTTTTTAACAAATCTAAAAAGGGGTTAATTACGTATCTAACTCTATACATTCTCGACGTTTATAAAAGTTGTTCAAAAATTCAGTTTCTTGTTACCTCGACTCCTCCAATGCAAGCCACTGGACGCTCCATAGGGATAGATTCTCCATTGTCCGAATTCATCTGGAAAATTCTGTCCTTGTCGTCGAATTCCACTGTATATATTGCGTCGAAGATGCTTGGAAGGTGAGGCTGCAATGCAAATTAGGCTTTTTTTTATTATCTCAAGTGACGGGACGAACAAGTCGTTTACCTGGTGTTAAGTGTATACTGCTAGTCACATTTATTTAACGTTTTACTAAAGTAATCAGCTAGATTTGATCGATTGACTTGTGGAACTCAAAAATAATAACAATCTACACATAAGGCAGGAAGCTTGTTAGCTGCTAGTCAAAACTTAAGCCCTAATGACAGAACGAGGTATTGATTTTTCATATTTGATCTGAAAATGTAAGCCTACCTGAATGGTTCGTGGATCAGATGCCTGTCCAAGAATTTCAAGTAACACAGGATCAGACACGAAGAAGAACCTCGGGAAGATCAGTCGCTTGGACTCCAAGTATCCAGTAAGAGATTTCTGACATGCTTCCAGTTGTTCAAACAGGTGAGGTAACAAATGTCTCATTGTGTCGTCTGATGTGCATACTTCCACGCAATTGACTATATCCCGCGCACGGTACATTATTTTCACGTACTGCTTGTCAATAGTCTGTTAAGATTCAAATAGAATGCATTACTGAACTCAAGTGACGTAAAAAATAACACATAACACAATTTACAACTTGGCGGTACAATCAGCTTGGGCAAACTAGAATCAGTCGGCGTCAAATAGATCTGAATAGTCAAAGTATTTCAAAATCTACACATTGAAAATGGCAATTTTATCCATTATGACATAATTGTTGTTGTATAACACAGTAGTTATAGGATTGTTCAAGGAAATCTCAAAAAGACTTCACGTTTGACGAAAATCTACAAGCGAATTTCCAATCATTTTTTTTTAAATTTAACTTAATTTAATTTTAGTAAGTAATATTTTATCAAATATGCAAACGAAAGTGCTTATAGATAAAACTTAGATAAAATTTAATATTTTTTATATGTAGAAATTTGTTGCTACTGCTAGATTAGTTTACTTGAGTTACTTTCATGGTATAATGTCGTACGGGATTCTCATGTGGGATTAAGCGGTAGATATACAAACCATATTTGTGTTGCAAAAACGAGCGATTCGTTGTGTGTACCGTTTAGATTCTCGGATTTCTCGCGAAGAAAAGTTTAAGGAGACTGGTATCATGACTATGGCATCACAGTCATGATACCAGTACTCGAATATTTTGTATGCCCGTAAAAATATACATAATTTCGTTAAGAAAGATGATACTCATAATATTAACCTTAGAACCAAGTCCAAACTCATGGTACCACGTTTTCGGTTAACTAAGGTAAACGATTCTTTTATGGGGAACTGTATACGTTTTTACAATAAGATTCCGAAGCATATATTAAGTTTACCATTTCCTAAGTATAAAAGTTACATTAAAATTATTTTTAATTACAAAATTCTAGACTACTTGTTAGATAAAGATGTATGGAAAGACAACGTGTGTCTAGATTCCACACAAATATGATTCAAAATGTATTTATTCTATAGCATTACAGTTTATTTGAAAAGAGCAATCCCTAGAGTTTCTTGCTTGTTCTTTTCAGGGAGGTCGATTATCTGTCCTCACGCACACTGCAACTTGCGCAGAAATTGTACAAGTAGGTTAGTACAAATAATAATAGTCTGAAAGTAGACAACTAACCGCAAAACGCTTAGCTTCTGCAGGCAACTGCTTTGCAATATCACCACCAACAAATACTGCTTCCAGATACATCCATAAGTTTTGCACTTGCAGCCATCTCTCTAGAATTTCGGATGTTGATTGTAGCTTGAAGATCCAAAGAAGGATGTTCTTTTTAAAGGGAGCATTGTATCTGTTAAAGAGATTTTTTTTCATTACATGTATATTTAAAGAAAAATATCTCCATATCAAAATTGTGTGCAAAGGTAGGTAATAATTCGTTTCAGACTTTAACTCAGTCTGTGAAGTACATCTTATAGTATAACAAATTAGCACATTCTTTACACAATATCCTTAGGCGTGACGTATATTTTTTGTAAGAACGTTATTAAATAGTAAATACCTAAACCATTTGCAAAACAGTTTTTACAGCTTCTCCTCCGGTAACTCGCCTTAAGAGTGTAAAGTAAAATTATGCTTCTGTAACTAGTAAATCAATTTTAAAAGGTTAACCCTAAACTTGGTATAAAATACTCTACAGAGCAAATAATGAAATTTGTATTTTGACATTTGTTTACCTTATTCATTAAAAAAGAATAATTTTTTTGCGCTTGTTAAAGATAATATTCCGTCGTCGGTTAATCTTAAAACTTTGTACAATTTCATTTTAAATATTCTTTGAAGTACCCCACCAAAAGTACCTACTTAAAGAGGTTGCGTAGTGTTCGTTAAAAATCTCATGAATGTAGGTGCATACCGTACTTTAAGAACATTTACAGCCAATAAGAGCCGTGTTTTTTGCGGCTCCATGCCAGGGTCAAAAGGCACTTTTAATCTTTGTGCTGTAACATCAGCCGTCAAAGAGATTCGAACAGCCAGTCTATTTAAACTTAAATGTACAAGAATATAGTATAATATGCATCTCACCTATTCGAAGCGAGAGAATTTAGCACCATAAGGGAGTCCTCAAGCAATGTTATAGTATCCATAGTATCAGCAGCTTTGATGAGTAACTCGCCGCGATTTTTAAAGTTGGTAAATGTTAGATCTATTACAGCCCAGTCGGCCATTACTTGTTTCAATTTTGCTTCGATATCTTTTTCTTTCACGGCACTGATACATATGTCCTAAAATTTTTAAAATTAATTTAGGAGTTTCGAGAAATACTACTATCCTCCTAAGATCCCGTGTACATCAAAATGTACATAATATATATGTGAAGAGATTTAGACCCACACCAACGAACTGATCACGTAAACGCCCAATGTATATTCTCATATAAACTCGTTTCTTGCCTAAAATTTTACACGTTTTAGGAGTAATTAACTAAATTTTGTGCTCTATTTATGTGTAGAATAACTTCTTAACTGATATCTCTAGAGTACCTATATAGAAAAGCACATAGTTAAAATATTAATATATTGTGTTCATAAGACATGCGTGCGTGTAGGAGTGATATAATAACTATACCATCGTTATTTTTTAAACGAAGTGAGTCAAATCAGTACCTCAACGTCTTCTTTATACTTCAATAAAGGCGCTTCCATAACGTTAGCTAACGTAAATGCCTCCGATTCCACATCCAGCAAGCAATCTGTACAGATTTAACAATTAAACGCAAGAACGAACTTTATTTTCGTGGATAATTGTATATTACGGACAATACGATTAGGTATTTTAACAACAAAATGCTACTAAATGTTTCCAGTTCCGAAAATTAATGACGTAACCCACTCATTAACTCCTCTAATCTCCTCCAATGTCTATCCTTCATGGCTTTGTCTGCCATCAACTCGAGCAATGGGCACGTCTCGTTGAAGTCGTCGATTTTCTGCTTCAGATCAATGAATGCGGGCCAATCTTTCATTGCACGAGGCAACTTACGGCACCTATACAATAAATTCTGCGATTATTAAGTAACTAACTCAATGGTTTTCTTAAAAAAATGCCTAAGGTCCTGTGACTGTCTACTTACACATAGCTCCTAACTCATATATTTATTGAAACACAGGTTATGTAGATATTGACAGTAACAAAATGACCATCTTAATGGCCCGACGGTTAATATTGTGGGCTCTAGATGAGTAGGTCCCGGGTTTGATTCCCAATTCAGAAACGAATTCTTGGTGTTTTGAGTCGTGACTGGAGTTAATTGTGTTGATCTGGTGGTACTCATAACGTTAGAAATTCACCTAGATTGAGACCAGGTGACAGGCGTGGTTGTCTGTATAGTTACACTGTGCCCGGCCAAACTTTACACCTATAAACACATTGAAGTTTATTGTTTATTTAATTCCATATGACTATGATTACAGCCATTACGACCCTTTTATTTACCGTAACGACAAAAAGCCGACGAAGCAAAAAAATACCTCAAATCGAATTCATTCAACTGCTGGACAATAGTTTCAATGTTCAATTCTGCCCAGGGTGTCTCAAAGTAGCCATCGATCGAATTCATTACAGTTACATACAAACTGTATCTGTGAAACAACACGTATATTTTAAAAACATGAAAAATTTCATTGAACTAACATTAATCTATCCTACTTCATAACAGCCGGTTGGTTACAAACGTTTAGCCATAGTAAAACAAGTATGTAACTCCGTACAAAGTAACGGTGTGGCTGCTGTGCGCCGTGGACGGACGCACACAATTTCGCATAATAATAAAAGGCGCACGACTAGTGTTATGCAACGCCAGTGCATCGCGAGATGATGCGAATGTGTGCGTCCGTACCCGGGGCGTGCGGCGGTGCGGCGGGCGTGGCCACATACAAACCGCACCATACTTGTCTTATTATACTTTGGTCTAACTGTATTTTATAAAGGTGGATTGTAACTGTAGTCATATCTACTGAGATATGACTGTCAAATCAGGTTGATGTTAGTGACGATTTTAAATGTACAGCATTTTTGTACTTACAGTTTGCTTAACAAGTTGAATTCCTTTTTTTTCTGATGTAATATCGGGTAATCTTTCACTTCCATGCCAAACAGTTTTTCACCGTTGGAGTACATCGCGAATCGATTCCACAGGTCATCGAAACGGGATTGAAACATGATAACCCTATCATAAGCATAAATTAATAATAATAAGGCACACACTCATAGCCCCGCCCTAGGGAAACCCTGTGTCTCGGATGCTATGGACACACACATAGACAACCGCAAATTACACCCAAACTCACGAGAGAAATTAATATAGACCATACAAATATTTCTCCCGGCCCGAAAATTGAACCTCTACGTGGCAGTCCAGGAAGGAAACCGTTCGGCCACGGAGGCTTTTAAGGACTTTCAAAGTAAATACAACGACACGTATGATGTATGCCAACCGTAACAAAATTCGTACGCTACAAATTTTATTTCAAAACAAAAAAATAATGGAACTTTTCACATAAGTAGATAAATAATTTATTATTTATTTATTTTATTATGTAAAAAGTTTAATTGTTCCCAGGAGAAAGGAAGGAATGCTGAACAATGAATAACATTGTAATATTGTTTATCGAACACTGTTAGCGACCTGGGGGCCAATCGCGCTATTTTCGCAAGGTTTAACCTTACAACATTTGAGGTTATGGTTTTGGTTAATTCATGGTTCTACCGACGCACAAAATGCAATCGCGCTATCAGTTTTAATGAACCTAAACCTCAAATTAACCTCAAACTATAACCTCGTATTAAATTTTAAGAGACGTGCCTTGACTTCCTAAAACCGACTAAATTTTACCGTAAAACGCACTGAAATGTCAATATCTACGAATTCAAGTCTATAAAAGAGCGATTTAAAAAAGTGTGTAAAAGAAATGTCATTAAATTCTATTGTAAACAAACATATGTGTTGTGATTTGAACCAAATTAATTGAATTTAGTGTGTTGTTGTTGTTGTAGATAAAACACGCAGAGGCAAGTACCTACACATTGTTTTCCTTTTTTAATATTCTATTTAATAAAATAGTATCTTTTTATACAATCAAATAGGTACGCTAACTACTATTAATTTCGAAATGTTAGCAATGTAGAATTAATAATGATGCTCGTATTTCAGCCAGTGTGGATGCGGTCGGATGGCGAGCGACCACTGTAAGCCAGCTCCATCTTTGCTGGAGTTCGAATCGCACAGAGATTTGGCTTGAGAATGACTTCGCTCGGCGTTGTTCGCGCGTGTTATCAGCACGCCTTTGGTGCGAGTGTGTGGCTATTTTGTGGCCCCGCAATAGATCCCAAAAGGTGAGCTATAATGCGAGGTAATAGGATACAGTGAGTGGATCACTCACCGTTATTGTACCAGAACTCATATCACTATAATATGCAATGTTATTATTGTTATTTAGGTATGGAATGGTATGAAAAGCAGGGTGAGAATCTACGCCACGTCGACTGCGGCAGAGGCCCTACCAACCTTCCTAAAGGACACCAACTCTAGCACAAAATAACTTCAAACATACAATTCAATAACAAAGTAACTTTCTCACTCTTTATTATTAATTAAAAAACAAAGTAACTTTCAATTTGAGCAAATTCTTTCCCACTCTTTATTCCATCACATCTATTATTTCGTTGACAGCGAGCTGATGAGCGTTGGAGCAGAGCCGGGTAGAATTCTTATGCATTGAGGAGCAGCGAGCATGCGAAGCATTCTTGCAGCAAGTGAATGCTGGCAGGGTGCAGGCTGAGGCAGCTATTATTTCTGCCAAAGCAGATGATCTGCATGCCCAATCCGTAGCTGCCATTTGCAAAGCAATTACCGAGTTGGTGCCTGCAGTTAACCTTTTTGATAGACTATTTAACAAGAATGACAGGTTTGTTTTCAACATGTTTTCTTAATTCCTGCTGATGATATGTTCAATTGTGGAAATCTGAAAGAGTGTAAGGAACGAAGGTCTAATCTGTAGACTTTTGTCCCCTTTATATTTCCACAGTGATATAAACATTTTTTTAAATGTATTTTGAAAAGGCCCCTAAACATTCTGGCGTTTATGTTGGCTTCATACTGTATGTATATAAATACCCATCCTGCTTTATCTGTCACTACTCTCATGAGAGGTATGGCACAGTCTTAAATTTAGGTCTCCAATCTTACTATATACATATTTTTGTTTCAGACTTCTTTGAAGAATCAAAAGCAAGCTCGCTCTGGAAATGAAGGATGATTTGGGGTAGATTGAGGCAATAAATAAACTAAAAATACACTCTTTTTTTATTTCAACCTCTTAAAAGTATACATCAATTTAGATATTAAGATAATAAACAATTACAATAGGTATACATCGTCATCTTAGAATGAATACCACATATTTCTATGTAATTTTTTAGGATGAAGATAAAAATATGGTGTGAAGTATAGTAAATGCAATAATGTGTGTAGTTAGCATTTTAATTACTTAAATTATACCTCTTTTAGATACTATATTATTACATTATTAATTTTTATTCAACAAAAATCTGTAAAAACAAACTGAAAATGCATATGTGAGGCTTCACTGCAAGGGGACGATATGTTGTATAAAGTCAAGTGTTAAAAGAGATAAATTGTAACCTTGTAATATATTTTTATACAACTATACATATTTTACCTATATCTGTCATTTTTATTTGATAATAATAACAGGAAATAAGACAAGAACTAATAAATATGATGTACATTGTAAAGCTTATTTTCTCACCGCCTTTTAATACCATCTCTTTCGGCATGCCTTTTAGGAAAGCTGCATATTTATTCATAATAACTGGTTTATTTGAAGCAGCTACCGCTTGTGCCTTTCTGACACTGGCTTGGGAAAGGGTGATAAGCACTTGCCAATGAGGGTCACAGGTACGCACAAGACGTAAAAACAATACGAGCTATTAAAATCTGTAACAAAATTAATAATGATTTACACAGCATAGACATTTTGGTTATTATGCAAAACTGAGAACTATCGGATTCCACTTAACCCTTACCTTTGTCTCCACATCCAATGCAACAGACCGTCCTTTAACGAGAATAAGTAGGCATAGTTCTTCCACCAATCCTGAAATGAATTCCGTGGACAAATGGTATATCGTTTGCGGAATTTCTCCTCAGACATGTTAAATGTGATCGTCTTTTTATGCTTTTCTTTTATTTAAAGCCCGTTCTTAGGCCACATCCACCTCATAAACACTTTCCAAAACATTTAAGTAACCGTGGAACATCTTTTATATACGATAAACGTAGTGAAAAGTTACTCTCCATTAACTGCCACACAAACCTTGACCTTGCAAAGGTTAATCTATTCCCCCAAGGTTACATGTGAGGTTAAAACGTCAAAATATTTAGCGCGATACCAATTTGCAACATTTTAGGTTTTGGTTTTACCTTTGACAATTAGCGCGATACCAAATGTGCGTTACGTGTCACACGTCTAAGTTTTGGCTTAGGTTTTTGTTTTGACAGTTAGCGCGATACGAAATGTACACAACGTGTCAGATTGGCGAGGTTGAAGGTTTTGGTTAAACCTTTGACAATTAGCGCGATTGGCCCCCTGCACAGTACAATATTAAGGTTAAGGCAGAGAACAAATAAGTAACGAGAACGGACACTCTCCGCCCCTCCCTAGCTTTAGATACCGCACCACGCCCCGGACATTGACGGTCACATTAACTGAACGAGAACAAGGCTGGCGGCGAGCCGTTTTCGCGCTAAGACGGCTGTGATATTTGAATATAGTTTTCATTTATTCATTACTAAATGTACGTTAAATATAATATCATTTAACGTTACTATTTATAATGGATGTCAATTGTGCTGAGTACGGGTGTTTATTGTATATGTGTACTTCTTTCGTTTTTTGAAAGATGAAACGAAGTAAATAAAAAAACTTATGTTCGAGACTCATTCAGTTATTGTTTTCTTTAGTGCAGGGTAATATATAATACAGATTTATTATATCAATATAATAAGACGCCATAACTTTGTGAGCTAGACAAGGGTTCTCGAATTTTCAATTTGTATTGCAGATAAATATTACGTAGTGAATATGCCTAATTATTAACTAGGTAATAGGTAATGATAAACTTGGACACGCAATTTCCAATACTTTGGTTACTTTATTTAAAGGTAGGTACAGGGTCAAGAGCGCGTCAAGCTTTACACTTAAGACTTAAATCCAACACTATGCCGCTTCCGATAAGAACGGTCCAAAACACAAAGTGCCAAGCTTGATGTGCTCTTGCTGTACCTGTCCAAAATATAACATTTTAAGTGCTTTTAATATACTTTTTAAATAAATCTTCAATATTATTCTAGTTAGTGAATTAATGAAAGATATAATATTATATCCATACAAATACGCAATGAACATGTGTAATTAATAGGGTTCTAAAATCGAATTATAGATAACAGATTCGCGTTGGAATTTTCGATACGTTGCCGTTCTGACCACGTAACATAATAGTACGAGCTAGTGATGAGTAACCCCGCTACTTCACGCACACATTTGCGCGTGTGCAGATAGCGCCTTACTGTATGTAGTAGTAGTAGGTAAATAATTTACGACTATTGTATGGAGTGTCCGGGGTGTGGTTAAGGTTCAAAACTAAGGTTCTTTTTTACATTTAACTGTCATATCAATAAGGGAAAATAAATTGAAAGTTAACGGATTATTTTAAACTGTTAAATAATCCAAGCTCTCCAATGAAACGTTCCATTAATCACAACTGATTTATTTAAACCGACACGAACACGCACTCGATTTGGAACACATATTTTTTCTTTATTATCATGACATCTTTATGCTTTCTTATCCAAAAGTCGCCATTTTTTATATAGATAAAAAATTTAAAAACAAAATCATTAGCTAGTCGAACCGGCAATGAAATACTCGAACCAATCCTAACAACGCCGGCGCGATATCTACCTATATACTAATAACATTTTGGAAACCCGATATACTAGTATCAACTAACGAACTTTTAAGTAAATACTTGTAATCAATCTCTATATCTAAATTATCAATTTGACGCTTCTGTATTTCTTACAAAACAATTTCAATAAAAAAAGAAAATCTATTTAGACAATAACTAACAATGATTAATCGGCGCAAGTCATCAACAAAGACAGAGACAGCTTACGGGGCCAGGACAAGCTTGGCTGTCACAGCTTGCACATGCAAGGCATGTTTTAGTGTATAAAGGAAAAACAATTAAAATAAACAACTGACCTATCACTAGCCTCCCGAGCTGAAAGTCCAGGCGTCATAGGACCGAACGCATTGTAGTCAGCGTCAAACTTAAGTACATCGTCTTGGAACGTCGCCACACCTTCGGTCAGTTCCTTCTGTAAGGGACCTTGCATGTCTACTATTTTTTGTTGTACTTGTGCCGCCTGAAATAAATTACTTGCATTAACCAATGCACCTTTAATTACAAACATGACTTGCTGAAGCTATGTAAACCAACAGGAATAACACATACAGTCAACAACATATTTTGGAATGCATATCGCAATCCGTACACCATATCTGCATCTTCTTTGGATACGTCAATATCAAAATGAGCAAATGTCGCGTAAGTCTCTTCAATTAAATCAAGCTCCATATCCATTCTGAAAGAGATTGTTTTCTCATTTAACACCAGTTTTCATGAGACGTTGTAGTATACACAACTATCATCAACAGTTACGTATTTCAATTTATATTTAAGTATAATAGATCAATTAGGTACTATATTATGTATTGTAATAATTATATGTATTCATAAAAAGTACTAAAGAATGTAAAGCAACGGATAGACCGAGTTTATTGCGGGCGCCACTAGCGTAAAAGAACGCAACGGCGCGCGGCATCGATAACGTTAACAAAATTTGAAGCGGGGAATGTGAGATTGGACCATATCAGGAGCGAAGGAAAAAGGATTGTAAAGGAAGTGAGTGTTACAGGTGAATAGAGTTAGTATGATTACTTGTTTTATTCTTAAGTGCCCATTTCCCCTTATGAAACCAACGATTACGTAAAAATTCAGCTGGGCATTACAACTACATCCTACACAACATCCCACACAATGTCATGCATAATCTACTCCTAAACAAGCACGCAACTTTTCACGCAATATTTTTTTACATTCTTGTAAGATACGCCGCTCCTACCAAAATAAAAATAAAGTAGAAATTTTTAAACAGCGTACAACTACAAGAAATTTTTTCAAAACATTTTCTTTCAAACCCTTTCATAGGTTGAAAGTACTACTACAAGTACTATATGGCCTCTGACATGCTCTCGCGACTCTTGATCTGGGCATCGTGTTACTTTTCAATACAAGCAATAACTATCCAAATAGGTAAAAATATATAATTACGTCACTACCATAATGTAGCCATAGTTGCTCGTATCTGGACACAAACCTCTAGTAGACGCAAAATTAAAGCTTGTCTTACCCGATAAATTGTTCTCGAATCAGCTCTAGACACAACATTTGAACTCTGACATCATCCAAGTCTTTGATTTTCTTGCCCATTGTCTTCATGCGATCTCGGATGAACTGCATCATTTTCACTACTCGTTCCTTGTAAGTCTGATTTAACAGTTTACCCAAAATTCTCTTCCATTCAATTGACTCAAGAAAAAGAGCGAGCTTTATGTTATCTAAAATGTTTCAACTTTATGAGTCCCTTGGATTTAAAATTAACGATAGAACTTAAATTTGAAAACATTAATCGAACCTTGAAATGTGAACAAACAATTACATCAGTCAAACAAGCGAATTAATATCTATAGAAGGTACTCCACAGGTCCCTTACACGCGTGTTAAGCAGTTTGTTTTTCATACCAACAAACGCAAGGGAATTAAAAATTATTATACTTTCCAAAGCGGATTTCAATTTTGCTCATATTTCCTATTTACCAAACCCAACTAACAGTCGAAGTGGTCAACAGATAGATAGATACCGACTTAAATATTGACATATTTACCAATATATTTGTACACTAGTATTTAACTTATTATTTTACAGCACTAAATGTATTATTATATCATAGTTCCAAAATATTGAAAAAAAAAAGTTACCCATATTAATTTCAATAGACCCGATAATGTGTCTCGCAGGGAGGTTATTTACTTCGTCTGTTTGATTTTCATATTTTTTTAACATATCCCTGATTATTACATTCAAAGGGTTCGAGTCTACGAAGTTTTGTACTTGTTGTACTCTGTCCTCAACCCATAGATGAGAAAATCGTCCATAATTCTGCAATATTCTGAATACATTATTATCAGATTTAGATGTAGCTTTTAATAGGTGCGTTGACGAAGGTGTTTTTCCCGATTTAATGAAATACAGCAAGGTTATTCCCTTATTCAAAAGGGGTAGGAAAGTTGATCCTTGCAACTATAGGCCCATTTCAATTTTACCAGCTATAAGTAAAATATTCGAAAAGGTTATGCTGACTCAATTACTGTCCTATTTCGGTAGGAATCATATTTTTCCTAGTGAACAATACGGGTTTACTAGTGGCAGATCGACTAGCGATGCGGGGGTAGCGTTACTAAAACACATCTTTGATGCTTTGGAAAACGCTAGGAGAACGCTTGGAAGAACGCTATTGGTGTTTTCTGTGACCTCTCAAAGGCATTTGATTGCGTTGATCATATTTCTCCTATTAGAAAGCTTGGACATTACGGTGTAAATGGCAAGGCGTCGAAACTTGTCATATCTCAATGGTAGAATTCAGAAAGTAGACATAAATGGAGTGACTTCTTTGGGTTCTCCGGTAAAAATGAGTGTTCCGCAGGGCTCAATACTTGGACTTTTCTTATTTCTGATTTATATTAATGATCTGCCATTCTTTGTTAAGGACCATTGCAAAATAGTGTTGTTTGCTGATGACACATCCTTGATTTTTAAAACAGACAGACATTACATTAACTATGACCAATGACCATATTAATGGTAAACTCTCTAAGGTAGTTTATTGGTTTAATGCTAAGAATTTATTGCTTAATGCCAAGAAGACAAAATGTGTTAAATTTGCATTATCTAACGTAAAATCGACTAGTCCAAGCAAAGAAATAAACGGAGAAAAGTTAGACCTTGTTAATAAAGCAATCTTCTTGGGAGTGCCCTTAGATAGTAAACTTCAATGGTTTCCACATATATCTTCCCTGGCCAGCAGATTAAGCTCCGCTGCATATGTAGTCCGCAGAATACGTGAGCTTACCGATGTTAGTACTGCTACACTAGTTTACTTTAGTTACTTCCATAGTATAATGTCCTCCGGGATTCTCATGTGGGGTAAAGCGGCACATATTCAAACCATATTTGTATTGCAAAAACGAGCGATTCGTTCTGTGTACTGTAAGCTTAGGCGTACCTAGTTTAGGATGCGTAGCGAGAGGTACTTTATAAATATAAACTGGGATAATCTTCAAAACTTATTTATTGTATTTTTCACATATTTTATATTTTGAGGCTACAACTAGAACTCTCCAGACGTTCTATTCTTTCTAATCTCCTATTTCAAAACACATTCTAAATATAAAACTATATTCACTCAGCCAGTAATTCTACTCATAGAGTAGAGCCTAGACTACATCCCTCTTCCTCACAACTGAAGGGGTGAACATCCCTAGCTGGTGGTACCTATGATAGGCAACTTACATAAGTGATCAGTCTTTACTTTAATTTGTTTATTTCTAACACTAGTATGTAAGTTTTTGTTTGTTATACTAACCAATATGGATGAAATCTGAATTAAAGTATTTGAATTTGAAAAAAAATTTACTATATATAGGCTGGCCCCACACTGCTCGGACGCTACTACCTTACCAACAAGTAAACCACCGAGGAGGCTATGGCTTTAGTCTGCAAAAAACCTATCTAAAAGGACAGACAATGATCACGAATACACTTGACGTGGCGTATCCTGTTGCACGATTGGTGCTCGTGGCACTTGATATTCCGACTGTTTAGACTCGGGTCTAACTATCGGTGTAGAGTCACCCTGTGTTTGCCAACAGTGAGAGTGCGCCTTACGAAAATATACTGGCAATTCAATATTTTGTCGACTCACATCATAACCGTGATTAAATATATCTTCTACTTGTATAATTGTTTTCTCAACTCCTCTTTCGACAAATACAAATTACTAGCCAGCATCCATTGAAAATTAGGTATCAATGATTTCAAGAAATGTCTAACAAACTGAACATCTTGAATATTTGCTTTCGTCGCTAACTTATCTAAGCTATAAAAATAACTTGTCAGCAATTCATAAAAAATCATATTACAAAATTGAAGACTATGTGTTAGATAAAGATGTATGGAAACACGATACGGCTCCAGAATCCACACAAATTTGATTCAAAATGTATTCCACAGCATTTAAGTTTATTTGAAAAGAGCAATCCCTAGAGTTTCTTGGTCGTTCTTCTCAGGGAGGTCAGCGTAGTGAACGAGCAATAGCTTAAATGTGACGTTTTCAAGTGTAAGTTTATTTTACCTATGGAATAAATAATCTTTGACTTTAACTTGATTATTACTGTTATATGCTCTGTGTTTAGGACATAGTAGACAGTAGGACAGTAGTCCATTTAGAACAAGTCCAAAGTCATGCGACCACGTATTGAGTAGATTGAAGTCATTTTGTGACTATGTGGCCTCCTTGCATCGTCATCCCACCTTTTTATCACCTTTTCTCTGGTTCCTGGCTACTTGTTTCCAAATTTTGAATCAATCTTTAATTCTTTTGCCTCGCCATCTGATTTTGTTTCATTCCGTTGTCACTCCCTGCTCAATCGCTATAGCGAGCAGTACTGCTCTAATTTTTAATTGCATCTCATTTTGATCCTTTTACCAATTCTCAATCTACTCATGTGCCACTTTTAATGCCAATGTAATACTGTGTAACTCGGCCCTTTTGGGGTAAGTCTGTCTCATGATTAGTATTTAAGTAGAAAGTGTTTTGCAGCGTTGTACCTGTTTTTTATATACCTTTTCTTGGTACAGCCTTTTCCTTTGACTTAACTATGAATAAATGTTTGTGAACCGACGTATCCTATTTATTCGCCGTGGTCCTCGTCACGGCACATAGCGATTTACAACCTTTTCAATTTTGTAGTCGTTCAAGCGCGGATTTGATATTAGTATCTGCTGTTAGACGACAGATGTCGTCGGCTAATTGGAATATTTCGCACTTTTGAAATCAGACTTCGCGGGTCCTAGTACAGAATCTTGTGCTGTACCATTAGTAACAGTCATCCGATCACTGAGAGATTCCCCATTTTTGGTACAGTATGAACGATTATGGAAATAGTTCTTGCAACAGTTTCGCAAAGGACTCCTGATACCACAATCAAAGTTTCGACTAGGATTTCGTGCTTTAGAGTGTCAAAGGCGTTGCTATAATCTATAAATACTACAAGTATATGCTTTCTATTATGTAAATGTTTGTATATTGTGTCTGTAAATGCAGAACGTAGCTAAATTGTATTTTTGCCATTTTGGAACCCGTATTGCTTATTGGAGAGGATTTGGTTAGCTTTGTAAAATGTATGACTTTGATTATAATTTCATTTTTTTTGTTATTTTATCGAGTGTGGGCAAAATCGTGGCCGGTCTATAACTGTCTTACTCTTCTTGACTACCTTTTTTATGTTTTTATGCTCATTGAATTTTTGTTTAAGAAATCATACCATTTGTATCACTTAGCCATTGCATGAATAAGTTGTCGCGTATTAACAGTTTTATTATTTTATTGTTGACCCAGTAAATAGTCGACAGCAAAGGATTTGCTTCAATCTTAAGCTTCATTTTTGATTGTTCATAACATTTATTGGATTTATCGGTTTTTGTTCCTAAGCTTATACAAAGATCAAACACAAAGAAAATTCCTTTGATCTGACAGAACTTCGAATCCCGAGTCGGTATGCCAATCTAGGGCAACCGGTCTACCAGTTGAGCGATAGATCGAGTTTGCAGACCTCACGAATTTCTTTATGCGTTTGTCACAGATTTCTATTTGTTGGTTTAACGGCTTTTTTGCCGAAGCGCCACCTGTGAGAAATCTATGAAAGTTTTCTTCACTCAACCAGGTAGGTAGGTAGGTACCTTTACAGTTACCATAGATTGACAAAAGATATCGCTTTATGAATTGTAATATTGATTTTATGGTTTATTGTATCATTTATTTTAAAAAATACCATTGGGGTTCCCAAGACTTAAGGTATCCCAAAAACATGATCCAAAACAAATAAGAGTCATAAATTACCTTAATTAATTTTTCAATATCAGGCTTATACATATACATTATTCCTTGCAATGCCATCACCGATCTAACAATTTCTTTGTGTTCGGACACCAACCGGAAGAAGCTTCTAGCACCACCTACGGAACTACTTGATCTCCCTGAACACACAAATTTAAATATAATGATCAGGTAATCGGTACCCACTATAAATACAAAAGCTGTGCTGGACTAAAAGGTATGAAATATGGAATTAACGAACATTTTAAAAAATAAGAAAAAAGTACTTTTCATAGCAAAAAAAAAAGACAAATTTTGTTAATAATCGAATACTGTTACATTACTTTTTTACAAAGTTCTCCAGATAAGTAATTTTATTTTAATAAAGTAAGTTGATATAGGTATCCCATGTATATCTAATGGATTTATGTCAACCGTCTTTACCATTTTTTTAATATTTGGAAGTTTCAAATCACTTAGTTATGTTTGTAAAATGTAGATGAGACGAAGTGTTTGTACAAGAATTATTTTTTCATTAAATCAAAAAGTTTCTCAATCATAATATTTGCCTAGAGTTCAGAAAAATAAAATATTTACAGACATGCTTTACAACACCAAACCTAATATAAAAATCATATCAGGAAAGAATGATTCAAAACCCAAAAATCATTAAAATCGTTTGCCGTTCCCTGTAAGCCAAAAATGAAATTTGGCTATTTTACTTAATATTTACCACTGGAGGAAAAACATCTGGAGTTATCCTCTTTCTTGACTAAATCCTGCTGACCCCACATGAAAATGTAGCGATGAGTATCCATAATGCAGTTTAAAACTACCTGAAATTAGTAAACACGAGAATGAAGAGTGCATTTAATTTAATAAAATCGTGCTTCTGTCAGTTCATTTTCTGTACCAGTGTAAAACTTATATAGCCATATTAAGGACACAAATAGACAAACAGTTGATTTAAATAAAATACTTGTGTGAATGCAGTCTGAATCTGTTCCAAAGTCTGCTTTATCGATATTGTTGGTATTTGCAAATACATGCTAGTCCGCATTAAAGGCTTCAACTTCTGTTGTTCCTCTGGGTCAATTGTCATAGTAAGAAAACTAAAACAAAAACACATTGAAGTAGACCATCGAAAGAGAGAGAGAACCGTCATGGTCTAGAACTGAATCTTCAGACAGATTTAGGGATCGTGGAGCGAGATTACATTTAATAGTAACACTGTATATTTTAATCACTGTGAAATCGAATAACATCTTGTACTTTCTATTAGTTTTAACGATAAAGTATGCACTAGGCGAAACGTGGGACAGTTCCGCGACGACGACTATAACTGGTCTGATCGGTTTGCCATAAACCGATCGAAAAATGTGTCCGATCGTGCCTGCCACCAATATCCACGACTTTGGTGAAGCGCGGGAAACTTAATTGTGCGGACTACACCGCTAGGTGACACGCTTGCATTCAGTTTAGTATCCCTACTCATCACTGGCTACGACATGTACAATAACCACACCAATAACCTAGTCTCAAGCTATAAAATTCCCTGTATTTTACCAATGCACCTAAATTCGCGACTGGAACATCCAGAATCCTCCTCCCCGGCGTAGTAATGTAGTCCTGCGAGTATTTTACAAATAACCCTCTATAGCCATAAAAAGCCGATTTATTTTAATATAACTTAATACAATTTTAAAATTCACCTCGACACTGAAGCTCTCTTTCGTAGACTATCCAAACTTTGTCTCGTGCACTTAGTAAGAGCCTCCAAACACTTGGTGGCGAAATAAGCAAAGAGTTCGTTGCAGTCGTTTATAGTTGGTGTCACGTCGTAGCGATCGGGGTTCACCACTTCCAAAAAGGCTGTGAAGTCATACTTTACTATTGGTCTTTTCATTTGAGGACGCTCAGAGATCAATTGCTAATATATAAATAAGTAACAGTATATCACGCACATAAATATGAAATTGCTATTACATGAATATCGTTGGTTTGCTACTCGAAGTACTGATCCTATGCAGACGAAGTCGTGGGCACAAGCTAGTAAGATACATATTTGTCTAAGATATAAAATTTAATATCCTCACCAGCATTTTCAGGAATAATTTTAGTACAAGAAGTAACTTGTTTATTCGCTTTTTCGAAGTCCAGCCTAGAAACAGAACCGCTCTTAAAAATTTGATTTTGTATTTTGATATTTTTTCTTACTTTCGATAATGTTCTGGGAAGTGAATTCTTATCCAACTAGACAAATAAAACTCGCGCACTATAGGTTCCCTACCTTACGCCATGATTTTTATTTTGATATTTTTTCTTTCGATAATGTTCTGGGAAGTGAATTCTTAGGGTACAACAATCGAGATGATGCACGCACTTTTGGATAACGAATTTTGCTCTTTATAAAAATCTTTTAAATCAATTTCATCATCATTTACCTACCTTGTCAAATATGCATGACTCTAAGAATGGTGTTTTAGCACATTTTTGTAAGAGAGATTTTACTGACTCGTCAAATATGAAGAAATCACATGTCGAAATTTTAAGAATTTAGAAGCTGATTTGTTTCTCAAGAGCTATAAACTTGAGCCTTTTCAAAGTGATTGTGAATAGGCATTATATATATAGGTGTGCATGATCCACGGTCTACCACATTGTCAGTTTCCATCAGGTGAAATGGAGGTCTAATGCGCAATAAAAAAAAAGTGTCCAGCTTTTTACCAATCATTTTTCAAATCGTTTATTTGTTTGGAAGGTACGCTATCCAAGAATTTATTGATGAGCTCCATCACTGCTGTTTCGGCATTGGTCGACTTCTGCTGCAATTCGTTTGCTAGAAACAGAATTTAACGTGGGATTATTCACTATTTAGGGAATCACCACACCTATCAACACAGAATCGCATTAAGCCGGTCAGAAAAAGCTTTATGTAATAAGAGCGAAAAGGACGTTATACGCATCGGCAGCGGTCCAAGCGCAGTGAGTTGCCTTGGTCCGAACGGATTGAGTTGCCTTTACTGCCCGTCTCATCATCATCATCATCATCATCATCATTTCAGCCAAAAGACGTCCACTGCTTAACTGCCCGTCTGGGATGATTTATTTAACGAAAGGTCATATATAGCGAAGCCGGTGGCGCTATAAATCATCTTTAATTAATCTATAGGAAATCACAGAATAACCAATAATCCACATTGCAAATTACTCGTAGATGAATTCGGGTATTTGTATTGATTTCACATAGATTAGACACATATTTTGTATGTGCGGCATGCCGCGCCATATCATTATGTAATACGCGCAAGCAAAGTCCCAGGCCTAATATAAGTTATTTCATGTGTTAAACTGCCCGAAACAATTTTAATTCTAAATAGTTTTATCGCATCCATAAAAAAATAGATATTACAATCATTTAAGTACCTTAGGTCCAGTAGGGCATGATAATGGTTGAGAGGTATTTATAAGTTAACAACAAAGTTCGTACCTGTTTCATCGCGTCTTATTAGATTTTCTTCATAAAACACGTTCGGTTCTACAGCTGTTTCGGGTAAATACACTAACAAAGTTTTAGACATCGACTGTAGAATAGCGTCTATTCGTGCTTCTTTCATGTCTACCACCTACATACAAATTAGTTGTTATTTATTTCCACGATGTCTAGACAAGTCAAACCAATTAATGTAGTATGCTACTCGACATAGTAGCGTAGTCGGCATAAGCTATTAATCCCATCAAAATACATCAGAATTCTGCTCGTCGAGTGATAGGTACAGCTCGATTCACAAATGATATAAATGAAGTCCATGATCACAATGTGATTAATGTTTCATGTACCTCTTTAACAAACAAGTCGACCTGGTTTAACGTTGTTTCTATTTTAGCACAATATAACGGAATCTCCAGTGAGGTCCAGGTTATAGTAGAAAGACCCGGCGCAAACGCCTTTTCGAGTTTTGATAATTGTGTACGTAGCAACGGCAAGTATAATTTTGGCATGAATCTGTTGAGAAATTAATCAAATAAATAATATACCATTACCTATCTTTATATTATCTAAGTTTACTATGTTATATGATACGCACTTTCTAATTTGATTGTTTCGTTCAACAAGATGTTTTATCTTCTCCACATTTCCTAATATTTTATCCTTACAAAATGCAACAATTTGTGCTTCGTCGGGTACACCTGTCGGAATTCGAAACTATGTGATATGCAGCGCAGATATAAGAGCCCATACACGGCGTATTTTTACGCGGACGACGTGCAAATGATACGCGGTAACGCGTTTCAAACGAGATTCAGTCGCAGCCTGTAAATATTTGCATGTGTACTAAGGTCAATGATGTGTGTGATCTTATTGAACTACTACGGCGCACGTTCGTGAAACGCGAGTTATCCGCGCGTAAAAAATACTATTGCCATATAACCTTTCCTATATAGTCTATGCAGACTCTATAGGAAAAGTTGAAAATTTCTTACGTAAGTACCTTGATATTAAAATCTTTTCCATCTTCACAACAATTTCTAAGCTAGCTATGAGCAATACTAATCGACTCTGGAAAAGTGAAATGGCTAACGTGCATATGGGAAATATTACAGGGGAGCGATTTAAAGTACTTTTTTAAGAAAAAAAAACATAACTAATTTTATTTGTTATATGGAAAAGTTGAAACTTTCTAGTTTCCCACATAACAAATAAAATTAGAGTTACGATTTTTTTCTTACTCCTAAGCTCGCCTTCGCGTAGAATGTTCCGTTATTATAACATACTTAATTAATATTTCCAATTAACTTGTCTTGACATTAATAACATACCATAACATAGCATTACACTTTATTTTCAAATTTTATTTTATCTTTCTATCTTTCACAAAATATTTCATTACTACAATTGCACCATCTTATTTATTTACATTAATCAACTATTTTTTCCGATCTTCTTGTATTTACCTTAAATTTCAGTACAATAATGTATAATTTTATCATATTTTTTGTTGATGTAAAATGTTTTTATCAATATTTATTTTTTGTAACTGAATATGTATTGGATGATATGAATACCTTTAATTAGCTTACAATTAGAAACTGTGCCTTACTCAATGTTGTCGTTTTACCTTTTTTTTTAAATATATTTATATGTATTCATAAATAAATAAAGGCATGTATTTAAATGATCATTTTAAATTTGCAAAAACAGCAGGTAAGAAAATCTAAATCTTTGTTAATGATTGATCCTCTTTCTCTGAGATGTAAAATATCGTCGCCTTAGTTTCTCAAACTCGTATCTTAAAACACAATGTTACTGATATGCAAAAAATGGATTGCAAATACAAATTTTGCAGGCTGATTTCACATCACATTTGCTTCATATTCACACACTGGCTTTTACCTATACTTAAAGTAATGCATCCAAATGAACATCCTCGATAAGAAATTTAGAATAAATAGAAGGTTTTGCCATCTCCTGAATAATCAATCTTTATAACATACGAGTTTGAGAAAGTAAGGCATCGATTAAATTAAATGGATGGATATTTATATCTGTTCTGCCCTACGTGAAAACGGTTTGATTTGTATAATTTAACTTTTTTATATACTAATGTCGTTATGCTCCTACTGACATGACGGGACCAAAAGGACAAATATTATTATATATTTATATGTAATTGATATTGTAGTAATCGGATGTATATTATCTATTTAAGCTTATCAGCCTCTTCAGTGAAAGCTATTAACGTAAAAGAAAATAAAGAGATAAGAAGAATAGTAATAGTCTCTTTATGAAAAATAGCGATAGACATACTAATAACATATATACCAAATATAAAAAATATCGTTTATTTAAAAAAGTGCACATTTGCAATAGATTAATTATTTCTTCGAAGAACAAATAATATTATAAATAACGAAAAACATGAAAACAAATTAAGAAATGCATATTTTCTTAAAACATCTTCTCATTAACTGCTAGCATGACCAAAAACTTTGTCCTTTGCGTTACTTTAAAAAAATAATGATTGTGGGCGATCAACTTACGCAGTCCCAACTGCCACATATATTCAACTTCTCTAATACACTCCGGTATAAAAATATGGAAGTTTACCACATACATATTAGTCATTGGATGTCGAACTAGTAGAGGAGCTATCAATCCAAACCGTACCTGAAGATTTTATCTATATTCATGAAAAAATCATACCAATATAGTACTGTAAATGCTGTACGTATTAAAATTTGCTATCATTTGAGTATATACATAATTATAATAAACCAAATACTAACATTTCTTGGGAAAATAATTTAATATCACAATGAAGAGTAAATATTTTACCTGCCCAACATTTTCAGCCCACGCAGAATGATAAATAAGTTCATATTCAGTAACAACTATTTGCATGACGTTGTAAAGTTTAATGCATCTCTGTGTATTCTAAAATTAAAAAGAAAAGTTAAAGAAAAATATATGTTTAAAGGGTAACCGTAGCGCACACTAAGCGGTCAAATATCCCATAAGCAATTTAAACAGGCGGTAAGAAATTGGAAGTAGTTCAAGGTGCTACTACATACTACACCGCGAACACAGCGTGTGTGAAGCAGTTGCACTTGTGTTGAATATTTTTTCATGCAGATAATTTTAATAATAAACACAAGCGCAACTACAGTCACAAACTCCACTACAAAAAATATACCCGACACGATTTTCGCCTCTACGAGGCAATTGTTGATTGTTGGACGCTCGACCCAAGGAACATTTTTTAATTTTAATTTTAAACATTTCATTTTTATATTATAACAATTTAACCATTTTTAATATTAATTAACATAAGTTAATTCACTTATATTTTTATTAATATGGATTTCCGCAAAGTAACGCCTGAATCTATTAATTATTTAAAACAGCTGTTTCAATGGCCGACGTCAACTGCCAACGTCAGCGAACTCATGGCCCCTGCGAGTGTACAAACCTACCAACATAGATAATAATACAAGTATGCTAACTCCATACAATTAGCAGTGCCGCTTGTATCTGAAAGAAAGAAAGAAATAAAGAAAACTGTTTATTACACAAGCACAGCCACGCATATAAACAAAACAACAGAGGAACAATAATAATAACAATTCATAATTAATTTTTTTAGGCCCTCGGAGAAGCGAGAGTCTAAAATAAATAATGATACATAATAATAAAAAAAGAATTAAAAAAAAAATAATAATTTGAAGAATTGATAATGCTGTAGGTATCTAATTCATCGTCATGCGTGTCGCAACTGGTGCAATCGGGACTTACTCAGCATTAACCACAAAAAGGCTTTTTTTATCCGTGAAGCGTGTGCGCACCCGAAGTATTCAACTTTCGCACAATCTCGCACTGCATAACACTCGTCGTCTCACGCGCCTTTCATTATTATGCGAATGTGTGCGTCTGTTTGTATGGCGAGTAACGGGCGTGCACACATACAAGCAGCGCTGCTACGTTTCTATGGAGTTATCATGCTTGTCTCATTATACTAAGCTACCAACGACCGTTATTTTCCTTTTCTGGAATTCCTTTTTTAGTAGTGACCGATGCACACGTCTTTGAATTACGTGTCCCAAGTAGTCCCAACTTCGATTCAATAATACAATTCACCTTGACTGGGTAGCTTTCAGAAACTACGCTAAATTTTTTCGTCCAAAATAGTACAAAGTGTAATAAAATTTCAATTAGGTAAAGATATTACTGGTAGCAGTGAATAAAAATCTCGGTAAGGATATTATGTAGGGTATTATATAGGGTATTATTATTATATAAAATATAGAATTTCTGGGATATTTTTCTACTTTACCCTGCGCTGGTTACGTCACTGTGACGAAAACCTTACGTCAAAGAAAGTTCAATAAATAGTTCAATAACTTACCATATGTGTAATAATATCACGGTGCTTCATAAAAACCTCCATAGGTTTCTTAATGTTGCAATCGTAAAACCTTATCCAAAATATTCTGCCTGCGACTGGCGGCATATTTCGAGGCAATTCCGGGTGCTCTCTTTCTTCGTTATATCTATTGGCGTAGATAAATAATAATAGAAAGAGAATGTAAAAAACCTAATTCAACAAAATTACAGGGACGTATGTGACGCATTACATATATTATATAGGTGTAAACAATGAGTATATGTATTCCCTCATTTGTATAACCAGGAAGTAATAAATCATCTTATTTATTTTGATTGATTTATTACTTCATGGTTATACAAATGAGGGAATACACATACTCATTGCTTACACGTATATAATAATAAAGTAATGCTACATCACACGTTATTAATACTTGAATGATCCCTTTAATAGTCAAATTGCAAGTTTAGTTCGAAGTTCTTTGAAATCAAATATTTAAATTGCTCTGCTACGACATTCTATCAGGTGTCATTTCAATTATTTACGGGGGTGAATTACCATATTGATATTCCAAGAACTTTGTTTTACCTGTCACGAATATTCTCAATTTCCAAGGTAAATTTGGAAATTAAATCGTAATACTGTTCTTCGAGATACAGGCAATCCAACTTCAACTTCTCGACTCTCTTAAGCAAAAGTAAAGCAATTTCCGTAGTAGGACATTTATTTACACTCTACAACACATTAAGTAGGTACTCTGTTAAGACTTCTATTAACATCAACATTGATCAATAAATAAGTAGTTTAGGTGAGATGCCGCTAGATGGCGTTGAACTGTTTTCGTGTATTTTCTGACACTTAGATTATGGAACTATTATTCCGGATTTAAATCGCGTATGTTTGTTTTTTCAAACATTTCGGGCCCTTTGCAGGTCCCATGCTCATGGTTGATTGTATCTATTAGGTATTCTATCTATTACGGTGTTAGCGAAACTGTAGACTGAATTACAATAGAAACTTTGCCTTTGAAACATTAATTTGTTTCTTTGGAATATATTTGAGACCCCATACTTATTATGAGACATAAGAGTAGAAGATAACACTATGTAACAAATTTCCAAAAAGGTCTGTTTGTGATTAGACAGCATCGATTTATTCAAATTCAAATTCAAATTCAAATACTTTAATTCAGATTTCATCTATATTGGTTAGTATAACAAACAAAAACTTACATACTAGTGTTAGAAAATACAAATTCATAAATACGTGCTGGGTTTAGGACATACATGTAATTTAGTCCAGTGTTCAAAAATGAACCCTGGACCCTGCCAGCAACAATACCCACAATGCTATTACCGCTGTCACGAACTCTGCGCATCAAGGATGCCGCTCTTTTTCTCATTATGGCGGCAAATCCGTCTACATGAGCATCGGCGAACATTCCTGACGTGCTACAGAATCGCGGCAGCCGCAACAACATCCGGAATATATTGTTATATATAACTCTTAGAGAGTTGATAGCTATCTGAGTGTAGTTGACCCATAGGCTGCAGGTATAAAAGGTCTGGCAGTAAGCTTTAAAAAGAGATACCTTTACGTTGTCCGTACACCTTGCGAACCTACAGGCCAACATATTACCCCGCACTGCTAATGCCCTACGCTCTCTCTCAATGTCAGTGTTATCCTCCAAGGACTCACTGACCCAATGCCCAAGGTACTTAAATTTAGTAACCCTATTAAGAGGAGTGCCACACAGCTTAACTTCAGGGACGTTATTAAAGCCATTGCTACCCGCTTTGAACACAAGCAACTCACTCTTAATCGCATTGTACCTTAAGCCATGGATCTCAGCATAGCGCTCACATATTGCAACTAGTTTTCTTAGCGCGCTTATTGAAGGACTCAGCAACACCATACCATCCGCGTAACTGATATTATTCACAATCTTTCCATCCAACGAGCATCCGATTCTGGTGTTGCAGAGTTCAACAATTAAACCGTTCATGTATATGTTGAAGAGACTTGGCGAGCTCAATCCCCCCTGCCTCACGCCACACTCCAACCCATACATGCCTGACTTCGCGCCCGCCCATCTAACATAGTTGATTTATGTTTAATTGAGCAGTAAGTATGTAGAAAAGAGTAACTACATTCCTGAAACTGCTTTTGTGGCTGTGTGTAAATAAAAAAAAATTACTTGTATTATAAAGTTCTCAAGCAACAATTCGTTATTTGCAATGTGATACTTATATATTTTGTAGTCTTTGTCGAAATCTGGACGTCTGAAAAAAAATTATAATCACTTTGCGATTTAATAAAAAAAAGCATAATAAGTAAGACTTCAGGGCACTATTCTATAATGAAGTGGTATACGCACCTATGGTCCAAAGCATCGTACGTTTTCGTTGAAATTTGTTTAAAAAATTTATTAAAATTTGCTGTGTGCTCGTCAATACCTTCCAATGTAGATTTATTTAACACATAATATGTTATATACGTTTGGAATAAATCTATTATCTGAAAACAGAAATAAATAACATAGCATTTGTCTGTATTTAAGTCACACAGCCAGATGATCGAAACATAAAATGTATACTCCTTAGAAAATAAAATGGGCACGTATGAATCTTTCAATAGGAAGTAATAATGTAAGAAAATGATATTATATTAGATAATACAACAAAATTAAATACTAAAATTAAACAACGTTTTCTTTCCTAGTCCTTCTTCATTTGATGTTTTTTATTATTTTACTTTGTTCCAATAAAAAAGTTACCTTTAATTGACTTATGTAATTCGTCATGGCAACCTATGAATTTATGTAGGGTGTAGTCATACAAACAACAAATACTAGTTCTGCTCCAAACCATAACCGTTGCGAGATGTGCTGTTCAAAATTATGAATTTTATATGGAAATCACGTAATTCCAACTTTGAATGCTTACGATATATTATCTTTGAATGTTTACGGTTTGGAGTTGAGTTGCTATAAATAATTATTATTACTTATGTGAATCTCTAAAGCCTCTAAGTGGTTTTACAATTTTGATTTGGGTCTTGTGTAAAATTCATAATTTGGAACTTATTATACATATTATTTCAGAATGGTTACGATTAGGAGACAAGCCCCTATAATTACAATATTTTATTATCAGTGCCCTTTAAACTTTTGTTTGTATGAATACCCCATACACGAAAAAATTAATTTCATTTGTGCGCAGATCTTTTTAAGCGTCCATACGCATTGCCATTAAAATGGGATCTAAAATATAGCGAAAACTGCCCCAACAACGACGAAGAGCCTTATGCCTAGTTATCAACATATTTTTGTATATTTTCAGAAGTCGGGAATAAAAAAATTGTAAAACATCGTATTTCAGAATAGATTTAACGCAATTGATGATTTGACCTATACAAACGTAAATAATAACGATACAATAGAAATAGTAACGAAATATAAAAAACTAAAACATTTAATTTAAATTGTAACGTCATTGCAGTACTGCCTAAATTTGCTTACAACAATTTAAGGGCCCAAAAACACCATATTCAGCTTCTACTGGAAACTTAACAAAATGCACCATATTTAGCTTCAACTGAAAATTACTTGAACACAAGAGTAATGGAATAGCCTTTTTCGTAAATATTAATTAATTTTTTTATATATATATTATTATGTCGAATTTTGTACAAATTCACTTAAAGGTATAATAAAGAGTTGGGCAAATACATTTACACAAATATTACTACAAATGTGAAAATAAGCGTGTACTATAAGAAATGTACCTATATTCTAACTAAACGTAAACTCAAATATCCGTAATTCCGATTTATAACTAAACCGTTACGCTTTCCATTCCTTGTTAACCATACCCCCGTACCATACCCCTGGTGGTATGGTCAACAATTCTCTTTGTTAACGGTACCACCATTCAAATAGTGATGCTCCTAGATGAACAATAATGTTTTATTTTGTTAAAGCTTAGATATAGCTTCTTGGTAACTTCTCTATGGAGAGAGATTTACTTTCTTATCTTAAAGTGCAAGGAGATCACGTTGTGATTACTTATATTAAATTGTCATTCAATGTCTTTCAATGTCAATAAGTATTTGTCATTGCATCAAACACATCATTTTGTCTTGTTAGTCACAGATTTTAATTATGACTGAACCAGAAATTAAATATATTACCATAAATGGAGGAACTTCTCTTTTGCTGCATTCTCATAAGTATCACAAAAAAAAGGATTATGTTAATGGTTCATCGGTGTGGAGGTGTTCTACATATTTAAAAACGAAATGTCCTGGTTCTGTAACAGTTAAGGTATGTTTATTCCCTATCGCGTGTTTTGCACTTTTGTTAAAGTTAAGTTAAGTTAAGCAACGTTAATGTTAAAAAAGTTATCGTGACGACCTCCCGATTACAAGTGATATAATTCCATTGCAGGATAACAAAGTTATACGCAGCAATGACCATAAATGCAAATGCGATATAAATAAAATAGAAGTATTAAAAGTAATGCACGAACTTCGTGAAGAAGTGATTAGTTCTGACGAACCAATTCCCCAACTATACTCTAAAAAAGTTAATCATACTGGTTTAGATTTTGTGTTAAAAATACCACCATTGAATAACGCTACTAGTTTTCTGTACGGTGCCAGAAATAAATCGTTAGAGGTTTCAAAAACAGTATTCAAGATTCCAAGTGAAATTGAAGTTCCCGTTAAACATCGCAGTTCAATTTTAGCTGAATATCACTATGAAGATACCCACATTTTAGTATTTTGTACAGAAAAGTGTCGGAAATTATTTTCAAAAATAAATGAATACTTCTTTGACGCCACTTTCGACAGTTGTCCTTTCCCATTTGTACAACTTTTTAATCTTCATGGAGACATAGGCAGTACAATTGAGACGACAAATGTCGTTCCTTTATTGTTTGCACTTATGACAAATAAAAAACAATCATCCTATTACATTTTGTTTAAAATGATTATGTCACAATTAAATGAATGGAAGCCAGTGAAAATTCATTGCGATTTTGAGAAGGCATCTATGAACGCCGTTAAAGATTTATTTCCTAATTTAATAGTTAAAGGATGCTTTTATCATTGGACGAAGAATGTATGGAAAAAAGGAAGAAAACTAGGATTCACTAATACAAAGTCAGAACAAAGGATTGTCGGGTTAACAGCTGCACTACCATTAATACCGTCAAATAACATTCTCGAAGGTTGGAGATATATAAAGTCTGAGTGTGGGACCAAACTTGATATGTCAAAGTTTATAAAGTATATTGAAAGATTTTGGTTTACAACGCATAATCCAGATATCATAAGTGTTTTCGGAGAAAGGCATCGCACGAATAACGCCCTAGAAAGTTACCATTCAAAGCTAAGCAAATGTGTGAATCGTAACAACAATACGTTACTTCGTTTACTAAATAAAATTTTGAATTTCCAAGGAAAAACGTCCTTACACCCAAAACGAAAGAAGAAGCAAATCGCAAACGACTGTGCTATAATGGAAATTCAGATGCAATTAATCAACGGGGTTATTACAGTTGGCTACGCTTTAGATAAATTGAGATAGAAATTATAACCTATAATAAAATTTCTTTCATCAAAATACATTATTTGTATATTTTATTTTTACGCGTAACATTCAACTAAGAAAATGGAATAACTTCTCTTTATAATATATTCCTTGGATTAATTTTAAATGACTACGAGAGATGACGTTTTATTTTATGACATGTCAAAAAAAAAAAATGGAACATATGAAAATACGTTCCACAAATATTTATGCATGCTTGTTTGAAAGATAGCAAAGTTTCACAATTTTAATATAAAGATATTTTCAGTCTCCAAAATGTCGAGTAAGTCCCGTTTATAACGAATAAATATGGTAAGTGCCTTCTAGCCACTGCGAACAATTTATCTTATTCATCGTTTGATTGTTTTATAGGTGAGTTTGATGAATGTGAAGAAAGTCAGTCAATTTTAGACAATACAAACAATAATGGGCAAGAATTTAAATATTTTGAGTTATTTGACAATCAAAAAGAATATTTAATTAAATCGTCATTGAGAAGCACAGATAGTACGCCTGATTTATATATATCCACCTCAACCCAAACCATTCATGTAACAAAGTCTCAATGCACACAAACTGAAAAGAAGAGTCAGACGGAATATGACGTTATTTTAGAAATGGGACAAATATTAGCCGATAAATTATATCCAGAAAATGTGGACAAAAAGTATAAATTTATGAAAGCTTTATTAAAAATAATTACTACAATTGCCGACCTACTTGAAGAAGACGATTAAGCTGCACTACTTAGTGCATAAAATGGATATATTTTTTTAAGAAGACAAAAAAAGGTTAATTTTATTTTTGTTTTAAATCCTTTTTTTTTTAATTACGAAAGTCAGAGGTTAAAAAGTCCAATTGTTTTAAAATAGGTACAGAAGTTGATTTTTTTATGAAGATAATTATTGAAAGTTTGTTTTCAATTAAACGAATAAGTTAGAACTTGTATTTGTTTTGTTGTTGTTGGAGGTACATTAGGCCATCACTATTTGAATGGTGGTACCGTTAACAAAGAGAATTGTTGACCATACCACCAGGGGTATGGTACGGGGGTATGGTTAACAAGGAATGACGCTTTCGAGTAATTTTGATGCTTTTTACATAGACAAAATTAGTTTGTGTTTTGTAATCTTCGTAAAAACACATTATGAAAATTCGAGCAAATGTATTTTTTGACTTCTGACAGGTAATCCCAAGCCGTAAAACGAGTACAACAATATTTTGTTAGTTACTACTAAAGTTTAATAAAAAAATCATTTTAAAAATAGGATTAGAATCAAAGCAACTCTACAGTTTCTTTATTCTAAATATTTCAATCGCTTGTGGTTCGAACAATTGAAAATGACCAAGAAGTTTATATAAGCTTCTTGAAACTGACGTAATGGGTCTCTTTCCATCTTTTACGCATGCAATGAGTAGAAAAAGGACAGTTTGCTATTTCATTATTTCGTGTGCTTTTGTAATTTATATTTATGATTCAGTTATATTTAAATTAAATACCTACTATAAAACTGTACAAAATAACACTTTTAAATGAAAACTATGATAACACAATATATTTGTTTACTGAAAATATGATACAAAATCCTGGTTTCACACTTTACTGCAGTAATTTTTACAAGTTGTTATTATTGGTACTGCATGATTGACAACCGCGCTGTCACTTGAACAAACGAAGACTATTGCGCGATTGACGCTATGTATGCTATTTTAACGCCCTACAGGTGCGGACACTTTTTAGCGCGAACCCGACGTCCATTTATTGGTAGGTCAATGGGAAACCTTGTGTCGTGGGTGCTATGGACATACACATAGACAACCACAAATCACACCCAAACTCATGAGAGAAATAAATGTAGGCCATACAAATATTTCTCCCGGCCCGGGAATCGAATCTGGGACCTCTGCGTGGCAGTCCAGCATGGTAACCGTTCGGCTACGGAGGCAGTTTAAAAGTGGCAGATTTGAGAATATTAGGAGAGTTCTTTATTATTTTTGGGAACAAACTGAAAACTTGTTGTTTTCTGCTACTACAGGGCCAAGAATTCGTTAACATTTGAAAAAATAGTATAAAACAAACCATTTGGCATATTTTAAAAATTGTTTATTTACAAGAAAGTAAATTAATTGTAATTTATTTTCTAAAAATAATATCATCTAAATGACCACCGTTTCGCCTTTTGCACTCTTCTAAGCGAGTACCGAAATTTTCGAATACTCGTCGGCAAAGTAACCGCGAGATCGCCGACATTTCTTCGCTGATTTTTTGTTTTAATTCACGTAGTCTCTTTGGTTTATGAATGTAGACACGACTTTTTAAAGAACCTCATAAAAAGAAGTCTGCTCGGGATAGATCTGGACTTATAGGTGGCCATGGGATGTCGGCTCGTCTGGAAACCAGCTTTTCCGGAAACATTTCTTTGACCACCGGCAGGGACTCGTTAGATGTGTAACAAGTGGCCCCGTCTTGCTGAAACCATGTGTAACGATTGTAGCCAGCAAATTCCAGTAGCATCGGTGCCAAGAACTCCCGTAACATTTTCACATACTCAGCAGAATTAACAGTAACCGAACGGCCGCGAGAATCTTCGAAAAAGTAGGGTCCAATGATTCCTTTTGCTGAAATTGCAGCCCATACAGTTACCTAAGGAGAATGAAGCGGCCTCTCATGTTTAGCTTTGGGGTTTTCACTGCTCCAATACCTGCAATTCTGTATGTTTACATGTCCGTTGAGGTGGAAATGGGCTTCATCGGAAAATAAGATGTTGTTAAAATTACTGAATCGATTTAACATTGTTTCGGCATACGCAAATTTAAATCATTAGGTTTTAGTTCCTGCACTATCTGGATCTTATATGGATGTAATTTCAAATCAAGTTTCAAAATACGGCGTAATGATGTCCGGGATAATCCTAATTCAGCCGAACGTTTGCGCGTCGATAAATCTGGATTATGTCGAACAGAAGCCGAAACTTGCTGCAAGTTCTCTTCGCTCCGAGAAGTCCGTGGGCCGCCGGTTTGTTTCACATTAAGTGTAGATCCCGTCTCTTCGAACTTCTTCACCCAGTTCCTTATTAAAGGAGCACTTGTACACTGACTTAAGTCATGTAAATCGTATTCAACGCGAAATAAGCGTCTCACAGTAATGAGCGAACTGTTGTTTAAATAAAATTGTTTCACACAAAAAGCGCGCTGTGGGCCCGTGAAGCGATCCATTGCGACTAAATTTCCGAGAAACAAACTAGTGGCAAGACCCCTCCCCGCGCCCCGCGCGGCTTGTACTTGCGTGGGGTATAAGATTTAAATGTTAACGAATTTTTGGTTCACCCTGTACAAACATCTGAAGCGAAATACAGGACAATGTTATAAACATAACATAGGTAATCAACTTTATAACCCCAGCTTCTACAGGCTGTACTCAATTAGCTTTTTTGATGCTTTGATAATGAATCACAAGTATTGATAGGTCTCCTTAATACACGTCATCAAAAACACAGGGTCACAAAATACACATCCTTGTTTCAGCACTTGACAAATTTCAACCCTATGTCGCTTCTTTTCTTTACTTTGACAACAACGGTCCAAAGAGTCCAAATTGACGTGCTTTTGACTGAACAGCACCTTGCATTTTCAGCTCTGCCCAGTATGCTATTCAAAAATACGAAGCAGAATTTATAACATTTGTTCATTTCGCACTTAATAATTTTATCGATATCGACATTATTGACAACTTCCACAGCAAAGAATCCCCATCAATTATTGTTTTTTGTCGTAGAATTCATGATTTGACGTTTGTAATTAAGAACTCTTACGATGTCAAGAGTAAGGTTCAAGATTAAACTAAGAATAATAATTAATAATATGACATTTTATGATTATTTAATATTTTCAAAATGTTCGAATAACTCGAAAAAATGGTGCTTCGTAGACATACCCAACTCGTAAAAGGCCGAACTTTTGATGATCAAGTTATTACACACTAACATTTACCTACCAATAATGAGAATGAACTCCGTAAATCAAATTCGACACATTTCAAATACCCACCTTCTCCAGCCTTGTCTTGAACGTCTCGAATTTGCCGAATATATACATTGTAGAACAACCGAAAGGTCGTTCGTCAGAAGCTTCCTTCATCTCGTTTTGAGTTTCGTCATAGCAATCACGATAGAAAGAGTACAAATCCAAACAAACCTGAACAGATAAATTTTTTGCAATGTAGGTAAAGAATTGGATTTGATTTACAAGTATACGAAATAGTGAAAAAGAGTATCTACAACTGACTAAGATAGCTAGAGATAGATAGAGAATCTAAGGTTATGGGGTCCACAAAAAAATCTCTGCTCGGATTGTTGATTTAAATGTCACCTTAAGAAAATCGAGACGAAGACTGACGCCGCCGTTGACACACACGACTACCATCATCACACAGTTTATCCGGTTCCGATTCATCTATTCAAATTTTGATACTGAACCGTTCAAGACTGTACAGTTTTCTCATATACACGTTACGATCAGTCGGTACCGGTAAAATGGTGCCGTCTGATCGTAACGATCTCCGTAGCGCTTGTGGGCCCCATTACGAGCTATAGATACGTAGATGGTTAACAGAACGTGTATGAATTGGGCCGTGTTCTGCATAAATGAGTTAACCCACAAAATGACAGTTTCGAGATATTGAGCATTAAAATTTTTGGCAACTATTTGTCATTACTCATTTAATTAATGAAGTTTACAGGACAATTATATATCAAAAGGTTATAATGAAGTAAGCATTACGATCAGTTTATTACTAAGTTAACAAAGTTATGATTAGTAATGAAATGAAAATGGTTTACGCAAAATTAGATATATCAACAAAATTATTACTTTATGTGTCAAGTGCGGTTAACACATTTTTGCTAAATACGGGAAAGTACGTATAAAGTGTCACTTAATCCTTGCAAACACTGAGAAATCAGTCAAGTAACAGTAGTTTTCATTTTGTCAGTCAACGTGTTTTGTTTTCAATAAACAATAGCCCTTCTTCTTTAAACAGTAACAATCGGGAGTGCACGAACAGAGCCTCCCCGCACGACGTAACATTTGTTACTTTTACGAGATTTGATCGGGACTTGTGCTACCTCTTCCCATGTTTAAATCTTCTAACATCCATCCTTTCTACTTGACCACGTAATCTTTCACTATACGACGCTCTCTTATTATTAGGGGTTAAAGTATGAAATTGTCGTTTTATTGCAATAGGTTCTTTGAATTTTCATAGAATCTTCATGGTTTGAGGTTTTCGAATGAAACTTTTTTCAAATGGTTTCTGTGA